AATCTATATCGTCCGCAGTCATCATGCACCATGATTCTCCTCTTACTTGTTATCCCAGGGCACATCTGAGATGGGACAATCCGTTAAAATCACGTTTAGAAGTTCTCATACCTACCAGCTTATGACTTGACGCGACCCCATTTGTCGTATTTTTAACAGGTAGAAGTACCGGCTAAAACAACACGTTTGGACATTTTATTCCGACACGTTCGGGCACAAAATTCAATACGGTTTCGTACTATTTTATTCTGATTTTACAATACGTTTGGGTACGTTTATAGGTTCTTTATGTATTTAGTACATAGTTAGTAAATATATGTATATATCTTCAATAATAATCGCATGCGGGACTTTCTATGATAATAAATACTATAGCGGACTGCGATAAAATGTGTAATCACAGACGTAGGGCTGATATACAAAAATATGGAAAATCCAGCAGCATTTCCAAAGTAATATATATATATATGAATAATATAATAAAATTTAATATCCTTATTTATTTTGCACCGTAAGTTAATAATCAGTCCGTAGTTGTTTGTCAAGTGTTACGCAGTGCATAGTGTCTGCCAAGTATACAAAATATTTACAAATATTTTTACTATGAAATCCATAGATATTATTTTTGAAACAAAACGAAGAAGACGATGTGTTCCGATACAGGGACATAAGGTAAATGAAAGTAAACAATTGAAGGACCGAATTGTTCACTTCAGGAATACAATTCGTAAATGTAACGTAACAGCAACTATTGGTGAGAAACTTGATTTAATTACTTCCCCCCCAAAAAAAAAAAAATAATCACAATTCAATTGGCAACTTCTGAAAATATTTTAAATCGATAAAACATGATGTCTATACTTATGCGAAAGACCATTTATGATGTGTTTACTAAACCAAATAAACTTATCAGTAAAGTACTTAAGGATCAAACTATTGTCAATATAAGTCATTCAGATGTGCGTTTATTTAGGAAATCTATGTATGAAGCTAGGCGAAAACAAATTTATATACATTTGATTTAACACAAGAACACGAGTTATTTTATGTATTTGTTTAGGTTAGGTTTTTTTTAGTCAAAAAATGACATCTTTAAAGTACCAACCAGATGAAATATTCTTTCACAAAAGGTTAGCACTTGGAAATCAGAGCAAGATTTTTGGTAGAAAAGTTGTTCACAGATAAAAAATAAAAATAAATATCATTGTAAAACCAGTAAATTCCTTGCTATGCTCCGAATCTAAAAATATACAAAATATGTTGAAGAATATTATAGTAGTGGTTTTTGTATAATCATCTTAATAGTTCAAATTTTGACAAAAATCGTCTTGTTTTGTACTTCGTTCCCTTTTTGGATGAAAAGTAAACTAATTTTAGTAAGTATTCAAGTGCTGTGTTAATGTAGTATTAAATTATCCATTTTTTTTACAAATGATATTCATTCTATATAATACAAAATAGGTGCAAGGGAAAATCTGACTACCTATTGGTGACGGAACTATGGTGCTTACGGGTGTATGTTTTTCGTTTGTTTATTATATTTATAGAATGTGTTATTTTAAGACTACTAATAAATGAAAATTGAAAAAAAAAAAATTTATAAAAGAAAATTGTTTGGCTAATGTCGCCAGATTTTTGACGTTTCATTGCGATCCGTTCGAGCGTGTTTTGTGAATTAGGAATGGTGCGGACCGTTTCGCACGTAATCTTTTGTGAATATTATAATAATATTCATGTGTGTACATGTATGATTAAGCGCTCAGTTCTATAAAAAAAGAAAAGAAAAAACGTTTAACCTGAAAGCGCCTTTGAAAACTTCACTATATAATATTATATTATATTTATAGGTACACGTGACTCGTAACTATACGGATACGGTCTATCACGTTCCAGCGGTCAAAAACAAATAAACATATAAACGCTTTGCCAGACGGTTTTATAAATCCGTTATATGCTCTAAAAATGTAAATTATTTTTGCGTATTTTTGCTGATGGTTTATAATCAAACGCACACAATGCCACGCAAATCGGACAGTTTGGATTTGGTCAATATTGATTTCTTAATATTTATATTTGTTGTTAGTTTTAATTAAAGTATTAGCATTAAATGGGTTTTCTTTGTTCTATATAGTTTCGATGAAAATGTTACTAGGTATACTATAATAGTTCTGTAATTGTGGTTTCCTACTTTTGCGTAAATACGAATTATTTTTAGTTGGGTCTTTAATTAAACCGTTGTTATCTAAACTTTTACTGAAATCGAATAATTCTGCGTATTCGTTCCTATATTGATGTTATGAAAGTATGCTTTGTTGATTATTTTCATATGTTTTTACATTTTTAAAGGAATTTCAAGAGTATAATATTTATTATGTATTTTTTCAGTTTTTATTAGTTACTTAATCGTATGCATATTTTAATAATTTTTTAATACACTAAATTCAATAATTAGTTTACCTACAGATGCAAATTTATAAAAGATGTCCTAGGATAATGGGAACGGATGCAGCCACTGTAATAGATAAATTAATGTATACATGTAAACAATGATAAACCATTGCTTAAGAAAAAACAATTCTGAGCAGAATTCAGTTGATAGTGATGCTTTATTAACAATATATATATATATGCCATATTATAGTAAAATAATTAAATAGGCTCCATATATTTTCATTAATAACATTTGTTTAATATTGTATTAATTTCCCCAGTTTTCCCAGTTTTTCACATTTGCTGAGAAAAGTCTGGGAAAAATGGAAAAACGACCTCTCTAAAGTACCTCCCCAGTGAAATTTCCTTTTACAGAAATTGCTATCATTAAAAGATGAAAATTACTGGTAGAAAAGTTGTCTACAGAAAAAAAATCGTGATATATAAATATTTGCCCATTTTTTTTTTCGGATTTTCGCATTTGATGAAAAAACTCTTGAAGAAAAAATCGAAAAATGACCTCCTTAAAGTACCTCCCCACTCCGATATACTTTCATAAAAGGTTCTATACCTAAAAATTGGAGCAAGTCCTCTGGTAGAAAAGTTGTCCATATTAAAAAAAAAAAAAATTAAAATTAACATCTTTGTAAAACCATAAGCTTCTTCGCTCCACTCAGAATCTACAATTTGAAAACATTATCAGATAAATTGCTTTTCAAGTAAATGCCTTGACAAACAGTAGGGTTTGACACGCATAATTATAATTAAAACTGTTTAAGTACTAGTATTACCATTTACCCAAAGCAATATTATTTTATGCTGTTAGAACATAAGAACTACAAATAAATCTATCTCATTAATAAATTGACATTTTTATCTCAGATTAAACATTTTTTTTTTACTACTTTAAAGAGAAGGTTTAAACGTTTTCCAATATTTTTTGGTTTTACTTTATATTATCAAAAATTACTTTGTATTTAGCTTTACACACAATATCTATAATAGTTATCGATTATGCCGTATGAATACAATTTATTAAAATATTATAGTGTAGGTACCTATTCTTGAGTTTTTCATTAATTTATAAATAATGCATTATAAATAGTGCATTAATACCAATCGTTACAGCCTCAAAAAATAATTATGTTAAGAAAAATACATAAAAATCAAATTTTCAAAATTTCAATGAAAAAAATATATAATTTTTAAGTTTACATCTCTAGGTATAACTTTAATAACTTGAGTTGGCCTAGACATGTGTTAATACTCAAATATCGCCCACAAACAGAGAGCATATACATTATCAAAGAATACAAATGATGTGGCATAAAAGAGCCAATAAAGCCCTGAATATTAATATTATTTTATAAAAAAGTTCCCCGTATAAAATACTATACTAACTTGCAACTTCTACGTATTTATTTCTTCATATTCTTCCCATTTTTTACTTATAACTATATCGTAGTTATTTTGCATTTATTTAGTCTGCAAGTCAAGAAAATTAACAATTTACGAATAGAGTCTTAAATAGTCGAGTTATTTATATAATTTACTTTTTAAGTTTTGCGTTTCATATGAAATTATATGACCACATGGTGTACAAGACGTATTATTACTCACTGTTTATCTGGTCGTGGAACACCAGAGTAGAATAAATAGATATTCATAATAATATTACCGTAAAACGTCAGTTTATATTTTATGATAATATGGCAGTTCACAGTTACGAGAAAATAAAACTACTCGTAGTCTCCGATCCAGTTTAAAGATACGATTACCGTTTTAAAACTAAAATATTATACGAGTACCTAATAATATCATTTCGTTATAATGCTTATAACGGTGTGGTTTTAATATACAAGTTACAAGTTTCATATAAAAAATTTAATAATAATAATAATAAAATTACTTTAATTTATGATAATATACTTGTTAATATTATAACATGATTATAATATTATTATAATATTTTTAAAATAACCGAAAAACTTGTCACTTGGATACAAATATTGGCGAATTTATATACAAAAATAGCATGCTAGTTGCCCCACCCAGATGGCTCAATAATGAAGATTGAGATGATAAACATAATGTAGTTACTTACGGGGAGAGGCAGACGGCGGTGTATACAAATATATGATTACCTTAGATAAATTTGTTTGTATGGAGTTATTATTGTAGACTTATTGTTTACCAATATATTAATTTGATTATTTTTTTCTGTCTTACATTTTTGCTCCATGTGCGATGACAAAATAAAACTAAATCTATACATTATCATTTTGAAAGGCGCTTGTAGTAATTATGAGTTGGGTTAAGTGACGCATTTTTTTTTAATTATCTCTTAATTTCTATATTTTTTTTTTTTAATTCGCACTGGAGCTCTGAAGCAGATGCTTCAGACGAAGGTAACCTTTTCCCGAAACATTAAATGCGTCGTACGGTTACCGGTTTGCCGCCGCTGCCGTAGCAGGGGCGGTTGTTGTAAGTGATAATACTTCAGGTGGTGGCACCTGCGGAATGAAGCATTTCTCCGCAGTCACCGCCGCCGCCGCCACCACCGCCATCGCCGTCGACAGCTATAATATTACGCGGGACTACCATCACTCTCATCGTCGACGTTCATCCGCGCAGTATACAATCACAGCGCCACTACGAGCGTTGTCGTCCTCTTCGTCGTCGTTACTACCTATCGGTGTTCGAAAATTCGTTGTATACCTGGGTTTTAATTCCTCCGTTCATTATCGTTTCATATATGTATACGTATACCTAGTTTTCCATTACGGAATTTTAGCGTTGTTGCCGTTATATATTATAATAATACAATACATAGTTTTCCCGGATATTAGATTTCCAGTAGACGACGAATAATATTGAGGTACTGAGACGATAGGTCGAGAGAGCGTCTAATAAATCGGCGTGGTACCACGTGCATTTACGTGGAGACCCAGTCGTATATTTTTTGACCAGAAGATAGTTCTGCGGCCGTAATTAGCCGACAGTCAACCGCCAGAGCCGCAACGATGACCAACCCGCCAGCCACTGTTATCAAGTAAATATAATAATATATCGTCGTAGTTTTATAACTTAAGTTCCATTAGTCGTTTCAGTTATAGTGTAATAATATTACATATTAGACCGAAATTTTAAGTGACCGTTTTTATTTTTTCTCGCATTCCGAGTACAAAAATCGATTCATGTAGCATAATAATATATAAAAAAGGACTGCGAGGAAACCGATTATAATCAATATGCAAATTTTCACAATGATCACTTTTTCCCGTTTCCGCTTGGACTGTATCTTTCTTTATCGCCATAGGTATTTTGGTTCTACAATGATGTTTATTATTAATTTTTTATCTGTGATCAACTTTTCTACCAGAAATCTTGCCCCAATTTTCAAGTAAAACACTTTTTTCTGACATTTTCTGGGGTGGTATTTTAGGGAAGCCATTTTTTGATTTTCCTAGGGGTTTTCATAATAAATGGGAAAAACCGAGAAAATTGAAGGAAAAACGGTAAAATTTACGAAATGTAATATTTTCAAATCAGAAAATATTACGGTCTTTCAAAACATGTATAATCGAACTCCACACAGATTCGTTTTTCATTAGCAGTCGCTGCGTACAGACGTATATTAAACTTACTTTCTAACCTTCTTAACTTCTAATCTACAACAGTGACCCATCTTGCGAAGTATGTCCGTTTGTTTTTAAAACCTCAGTGTATACCCTGGATCTTTTTTTCCTTAAGGTGACACTATACCCGTATTTACTGTTTCAGTCTAACTAAAGAGTCAAAGTATTGTGAAATCAAAATTGAAAAAAAAACTTCAAATTTCAAAAATTAACACTCACATTAAAAAAAAATACATGTTTATACTTTACATTTTTTTCTCATTTGTAACAACCAAAACATAATAAATAATTAAATATATCACTGTACCTATATTAAGACGTACTTAAAATAAAATAGAATGTCTATAACTTAAAAGTAATCGTTAAAATGTTTGACCCGCCAAGAATTATTGTTCTTTTTTATGACCCTCTGTAAAAAAAGGTTGGTCACTACTGGTTTAGAATAGTAGTAGTATAGAAAGAAAGTACGTACAATATAGTACGTGTAATATTATATTTGAAAATAAGGTATCTATAAAACCTAATTTACCTATCATAACAAGTCGGTTTTGTATTATCGTTCATTTGTCCCGCATGATTACCTACATATAATTATTATTTTAATCACGATTGTATTTATAAACGAATAATTCCATCAAATTATACAATTTTAAATGTACCGGGAATTAGATATATACATAATAAACGTATTTTTTGGAATACAATTATAGATATAGTACCTGGGTACATATCTGCGAATAGTACCTATCCGTGTGAGCCAAAAATTATTATTAAAGAAGTTGATATTGTTCACAAGTAGGGTAATGTTGTAGATGGGTAGTTGGAAAGGTAGGATTTACAGGGTAATTTAGTTAATATATTGCATTCAACGATAAATCATTGGAAATGAAAAAAACGATTCTGAATGGAATATTATATTAGTTTTTTACACCGTTGTCAAGAGTAATTTAGTTAATGTGCAACGGTAAATCATTGAAAATGAAAAAACGATTCTGAATAGAGAAGTTTATTAGTTTTTTATTCCGTTGTACAGGTCACCAAAAAATAAATAAAATAAAACCTATATATTGACATTTGTTGTTAATTTTTTTAAATTTTATAGAAAAACTTCTAGAATTTTTAAAAAGAAATACTATCAGTTATCAAATTCACATTGATTCATATGATGAAAATATTTGGAACCTTATTCTAACTAATTGAAAAAGTGTTTTTTCCAGAAAATAAAATCGAAAAAGTCCTAGGTTATGAATTGTCGAAAATGGTTCTAAATATTTTAAATGAAATACGATCGAGCAAAAATTTCGCATTTTTTGAGAAAAAATCTGAATATTTTTAATATCTGAAAAAGTGTTTTCTGTGGAAAGAAAACAATATCATATAAAGCGCATTAAATTTAAAATTAACAATAAAAAAAATACATACGATCTGTTTTACCACGTGTTTCTTTATTTTAGGAAATATTATTTTATCGACTTTTGATTTTGGCCAATATTTTATAATTAACGAAAATGCCAAATAAATCTCGCCGGAAACCACGGGCAATGTTTATTTTTAAGTATACGTACGATTGGTCTATTAGGTCTATTAATGAATAATAATAAATAATAAATGAAATAATAAATGCAAATTCACTTTATAAGTATGCGTGCATAATTGATTTACGATAGTAATTCTCGATTTATCAGGACGACGAATCTACTATTCATAATAATTCGTCTTGTTGAATTGTTAACATAGCATTCTAGTAATTTTTAGTAATACTCGATAAACTACGACCACATTCGGAAGTTAGTGACCTTCTGAAATTATAAATTTCATCTCTTACAACGATATTTTATTATGAGCCATTATAGAGAGTTAAACGTTTACTTACCCTTTATTATACTTCAATATAAATAGTCGCTTAGATGGACTTCTTTTTTTTTTTTTATCCAGTCGGCCAAAATAACCAAGGTGGTGCCTTAGCGACTCTGCTGGGCAATCGAAAACAAAGTACATCTTAACTTTTTTAGTTAGGTTAGGTTAGGAGTGGAGCGAGGGATCTATCGGCTTTACTATAGTGTCTTTCTTATTTTTGTGTCTGTTTAATTATTTAAAATTTGTACGGTTTAATTTTTCTACTAGGAATATTGTTCCAATCGAAAAACAATTGGTTAGTAAACAAGTCGTTTTTTTATTTTATTTGTAGGTTTTTTAACAATTGAGTATAACCGAAAAAAAAACCCGTAGAATGATCTGAAAAAGATTACGGAAATATAAATTGTATTATTTTCAATTTTGTTTTTTTGTTATAATTCAGTGTAATTCAGTTAAGAAATTTCTTAGACTTTAAAAGAAAACTTTTACGGATCAAAATTTTAAAAATATTTTATGTTTATATATTTAAACCCGGCTAACCTACATTTTAATGTCGTGTGTACAGTATTTTTTTAACAGGAACAAAATTAAAATACTATGTTTTGATATACGAGTATAATACGCTAATACATTTGTAATGTACGCTGAATTTTTGTTATAAAAACGACTTTGGCGGACAGCGATGGTGCTAAACTACTTGTAAAGTATTAAGTTATTATATAATAAATCTCAAAGAAACGTGAAATTCTGGAGTTATCAAGAATTTCACCAAAAGTAAATATAATGTTTTCAGAAAAAAACCGGAATTTAATATAAATATTATATTATAAACAGTATTGAACGAACAAAAAAATGTAACAAAATAAAAAAATTCCCCGTGACTCATTGTTTTCAAAATTAACCTAATCTAACCTAACCACATCCATATCACTGTATTTAATAATTATTAACTATACATTTTGGATTCTAAGTGTAGCAAAGAATATATTGATTTTACAAAGATGTTTATTATTTTTATTTTTTTATCCTGTGTATACAAATTCTAACAGAAATCGTGCTCATATATATACGCGTGGCATCACCATTTCTGAAAGAGAATGTTGTCTAGATAATACTTTTAGGAGGTCATTTTTTGATTTTCCAAGCGGTTTTCATAATAATTGGGAAAAACTGGGATAAAATGTTAGATAAACGGAAAATGAAATTTAAGTATTACTAAAAAAATATTATGACCTTAATTTGTTTTTGTACAACTTTTCTATTAGCAATTTCACACCGATTTACAATGATAGCAATTTTTCTGAAATAAAATCCGACTGAGCAGGTACTTTTAGGAGGTCATTTTTCTATATTTCCTAAGAGTTTTCCTAGTAAATATGAAAAACCGAAAAAACGTGTTAAAATCAAAAAAAATCGGTACAATATTAAACGAATATTATTAAAGAAAATATATAATGCCTATTTAATTATTTTACCATAATACCACAATTCTTTATAATGGTCGTTAAAAAACTCTGTGTATGATGATAATATATAATATTATTGTAACGATTTTGCGATACATCTAAAGTAATAAAAACATCTAAATGTATTACCGATATTTCAAAAGTGCGTTTCATGAAAAAGTTAATTCCACATGATGGAATTACCTGTAAAAATTTCACATTTTTTTCTAAGAAAAAAATTTATTTTGGTTAATATTATATTATTTTATTTACGGATATACTCCATATATAGGTACTCTGATAAATAACTCTGCGATAACTGAGTAAACCTTTTTTTTCCAAACGAACTTCGTCGAGATTTTTTTTTTTATATCGTATGAGAATTTAATAATATTTACATTAAATTTATTTACTATAAATATTACTCGCCGGTCGTACAACTGCACCGCGTATAAATGGAAACATTATCATAATATGTTTAAGACTCGTTATTGCTGCTAAAAAGACATGACCTTAAACTTGCGAATTTGCCAATAATATGCTACGAAATGTATGGATAAATAATATAAATAACCGGTTAGGTATTCTCACGCTGAGAACGTATTTATTTATTGGTTAGACATTGTACTTATATTATTATTATACCCACGAGATTAGATTAGATCTAATAATAGTATTCAGTGGCTCAGTCAGTAAAAGGGTTGGATGTTGTAATACTCCCACTGGTTTTTTTTATAGATAAGGTTAAGAAAAGTGTAGACCCCTAAACCTCCTTAGACCCCCTAAACCCTTTCCATTGTTAAATCTTGACTACGCCACTGATAGTATTATTATAAAATATTGTCATTGGATCTGTTAAAAAAAATTTGAGCTACACGGTCTGCACACGATAACAGGGCCCGATGTACAATATAGTTGTTGTTTTACATTGAAACCTGAATCAATAATATACAGAATTTTTTTTTTCAATGACGATTTGTGAATTTTTTTTTAAATTCGATTTATATGCGTTTTCTTCAATCGTTAGTGTATTGGACCGTAGGCCTTTTGAAAGTCTACTTCAATCTGTCTACAAAACAAGTGTAATTCCTGACTTTAAGCTCATTTTCTATTTTAGAAGAAATAGCTAAATGTCCAAAAATAGCGGAAAAAGATAAATATAATATACGAGGTATGGCTATTAAATAACGAGACTGGTTACGAAAAAGTGTTTTATTATAAAAGTTATTCTAAATTCAAATGCTCCCCTTCAATATACTCCCCTCCCCTCACCACCACCGTTTCATTCGTTTCTTCCATTGCTAGAGGCAGTGCTGGAAGTCTGTTTTCGTAAGACCATTCAGGAGTTCCGCCGATTTTTGTTTCACCTCTTCCATCGACTCAAACCGGATTCCTTTTAAGGCAGACTTTATCTTCGGAAACAAGTAAAAGTCGCAGGGTGCCAAGTCGGGTGAGTAAGACACGTGTTCGAGTACTGGAGTGCCTTAAGAGGCCAAATAACGCTTCACAGACAGCGCGTTATGGGCAGGTGCGTTATCCTGATGCAAGATCCATGACTTGTTTTTCCACAATATCGACCGTTTCTTACGAACTCATTCGCGCTATGTTGCCAAAACTGTCAAATAGTAATGTTGGTTCACAGTTTGACCCTCTGGAACCCATTCAGTCATCACGATGCCGTTGATATCGAAGAAAACGATCAGCATGGTTTTGAATTTGGATTACGACTGAATTGGATTCCGGTGCACTCTCGACCTTCAGAAAATAATTTATGCCACTCAAAAANATAGGAAATCCTCACTATAGGCCTCTTTTAACAACTTATAGCACTCAGTTGGAGTTTGTTTTAGTTAAACGAGAAAATTTTACGTTTATCCGTTGCTCATGTTTTTCGTCACACATTTGGCACGAGAAAAAAACACGTTCGTTTCAAACCACTACTGCACAAATACTATAATAGTGACGAAAACGTGTTTTGGTACGTGCAAAGATAAGATATCTAGATACCCAACGCATTACTTGTTTTTTTCACTACTCATCTAGGACGCCTTCTAGGCGAGCAGTCTCGTTATTTAATAGCCACACCTCGTAGATACTATAAGCAATAATATGCATAGGTATGAACTACGGTATAGATAAAAAAGTTATATTTTGCTGAAAAAATACAATACAGAAACTAAACAGTGAATTAGTCTCTATATTTGGGTAAAATTCTACAAAAAATTATACCGTATTATATATTATCGGTGAACGAGATAAGATAAAAATCTATCATTATTATTTTATTATAATATCGAGACATTATAATAACATGATGTGTACTACTTATCTATGTATTATTATATTACTATATTATATCAGCGGAATTACACGTCGTTACATTGTTTGTGCAGACTTGGGTTTATACATAAAAAAAATATAATATAATATATTTACATAACGACAACGGCATGTGCGAGATCCGATAATCGGTTTTTTTTTTCATGCATACAATAAACGATTATATCGATTTATTTTTTATTTTTTGAAAGATTTAATTTACAATAAAAATAAACGTTTAAGAGCACAAGTTGAAGGATTGATATTCCTGCCGGGCGAGAGTTTTAGAGAGTAGCTGTCGTTTTTTTATTATATTTATTTTATAGTAATATTATTAAAAAAATTATAACAAAAAAAAAAAAATATATATATATATATATATATTTATACACTAGTATGTATATTATTATATCGCATCGAACGGTTAGTCGTGTGTAGGCTCATCGTAATTTATTTTTCTTCAATGCATGGAAGAGAAAGTGAATGGCACGTATAGTTCGCTTTGAACGCACATCGCTTCCATGTGTAATAATAATAGATAATATTAGAATTATTATTAAATAAATACAATGGGAGTCATTATATGTATTATTCGCATACATAGTGTATACATAGAAGATATAGTTAACCGTATTATATTATAATATTTAAAAAGTAAAACGTCAAATCAAATTATAGTTAGGAAATCTAAATGTAACAAAATTCAAATTAGTTTTATTTATTTGACATCGCCTAGTCTTCGATATACTCGTATTTGTGTATATCATTGATGTGAAGTTAAAATTTTCTTTATTTTAATTTTATGATGCACTATATTTTCTACCAGAAATATTGTTCCAAACGAAAAACAATATGTGACCTTTTTTTATTTTAATTTAGATCTAGTTGGTTAATAAGGAAGTCATTTTTTATTTATGGGTAGATTTTTTAACAATTGAGCAAACCCCAGAAAATACGTAGAAAGAACGGGAAAAATTACGGAATAATAGTTTTATTATTTTAAATTTTGATTTTTAGTTGTAATTCTGTTAAAAATATGTAGAGACTTTAAATGATGATCGAATACTTATATTGACGATTTTTGAGCTATTTATGGACATTTTATGTTTGCAAAATTTGTACGTAGTTTTTTTTTTGGTAGGTATTCTATGTGAATATAATTGTTTGATAAAATTAAAATGCTTGAAATTTAACAAAAGGTTCATTATAAGAGACGTGCCTCCCGTTTATTTGTTTATTTGTTATTTCGGTGTACTTTATTGTTCAACAAAATATAGTAACGTATATAAAAATGATTAGTCCCCCTTAAAAAAAAAAAAAAAATAGTTACGGTACTGCATAGTATAATGTAATGACCCAATACAATAATAATACAAATTATGCAAATAAACATTACAAATTATATGTGTTTGGCTTTGATTAATATTTCTGTTTTTTTATAAATGATGATAAGTAAACGATTGGTATTGTTTAATGTGTGAATCGTTGCGGACTGCGTTCAACTCGTTGATTTTTGACAAAATACGACCGCAGTTGAAATAATAAATTGATTGACATATTGCATAGTGCTAGTGTAATAATTTACTATATACCTATCTATGGGAAGGTATAGAAAACGATTTTTTTTCTCGTGACGTTAATCAATTATTGAATAAATACCGATTAATAACGAATCATAATAAATTAAAGTAATGCCTACGACGATGGGATTCAGTTTTTATTTTTTACATACTTTTCGACAGTCTCCAAAAATATTAGGTCATAACGGCATACTCGAAAAGTTCAACGGAACACTACGCAAACTGCAGATTTCTGGATTATAGTAAAACTCGTTCTAAGATGATATATTATAATTAAGAGAATATAAATCGAACCAATAACCTTAAAGTATAAGTTTTCACTACGTAGTGGTTTAAAATCGAAAAAATTGGTCATAATTAATAGTTCTTAAATTTTTCCCAAAAAAAATGTCGAATCATAAGTTTAATGACACAGAACTCAAATTTGTTATCAGTTTTAATATTCATTCCTTATTTAACTACACTACATAGTATACCTCATCTATTATTTATGGGTCTCTCGTATATAATTTAATAAACTGCATGGGTCCACGTAAAAACCTGGAATTTAAAAAACTTAGATGGTACAAAATTGGAGGTATAAATTTGGAACATAATATTTAAAATAAGTGCTGATATTCGATCAAAACTAACGAAAAAACAATTAAGTGCGAAATTCAGCAATATATATTTTGAAATGCCATAAAGTTTATGATTTCCGTCAACTTCGGTTTTTTAATGAATAATACAACATATACAGTGTTATTTTTTTTTAACATGAATCAAAAATTATCTCAGAGGATTTTAAGTGAATTTGATTTCTGTTTTTTATAATCATTATAGCATCGTTTAAGATTTATTTTAAAATTATTTTTAATTGTTTACCTCTACTCCAATACCTGAAATAGGTACATACTTTTGATTTTCAAATAAGAACCCCTTTCCGTTTTGAACACAGATTTGAATAGAGAATATTTGTCTAGATATTTTGATATGTATAACACTAATATTAAATTTACTGTTTATGAGTTAAAATAATTTAAAATTTAGACCAGAGAAGTAGGTTTTAAAATAAAGCTTAAACGATGCTATATAATAATTAGAAAAACAGAAATCAAATTTACATAAAATTCTCTGAAATAATTCTTGGTTCATGATAAAAAAAAAAAAATCACCCTATATAATATATAATATAACAAAACTAAATTATATCATTTGGCAATATGTCTTAACTAACGTCGCTCTGAATCGTATTTTCGTTACAACGGTATATCATTGCTTACAGATATAGATTAAATCACTTTATGTATCCTACCTTCTCAACTTCCTTATTACAACAATGGCTGCACCAGATCTCAGTATCAGCTCTTTTTTTAAATATTAAATTTCAAATTTATACCGTCCAGATTTTCACGGATTTCAAAATGTTATGTTCCAGATTTGTACTGTCAGGATTTGTACAGTTTAAGATTTTACATTCCAAGTTTTTTTTACGCGCTCCCAACTGCACTTCGTATGTCACCTTCACTCTGCTATTATCACAATATCATCTGCCAATTTTATCATGAAAACAATTTCTTTGTCAATTTTTTAATATAGGTTGCTACATGAAAATCAAAAGTAGATAGTCGTTTCATTTCCAACAATTAGGTTGACAAAAAATAATGTAAATGTTAAATTTTACAGTAGCTTGTTTCTTAAATTTAAAAAAAAAAAAATTTTAAAAAGTAAATAGTTTCCGAGGTATCGTGTGTACCCACATTAGTAAATCAGTCTGTATACTTATTATACTCCTATTATCAACTAATAATTGAACATTTTAGATTCCGAGTGGAGCGAGGAATGTAGTATTGGTTTTACAATGATTTAAATTTTTTTTTCTGAGAAGAACTTTATTACTAGACATTTTAATCTGATATTTAAGGGTAAAACATTTTCTGAAAAACAATTTTCCTGAGGTGGTACTTTAGGGAAGTTAATTTATGATTTTCTCAGGACTTTTGACATGATAAATGGAAAAAAATTAAGAAAAACGGGAATATTTACGAAATAATATATTATTTTAAAATCGTAAATATTATTTTTAATTTTGAAAAGCTCATAACTTTCTATACATAAATGTTCTACCCGTTCTTTGGATTTTATTGTTTTATAATTAAACTAATACCTTAGTTGGCTATAATTTGGTTATCAATCTCTTATGTTGTTGTTTTTATATTTTCGTCTTTCATCTAATTTTATCTAATTCCTTATTTATTAACACATGCTTTTATTAAGGCATTCTTTTCAATAAATGTTATTAACGAAGCATCCAGAGGTTTTGTTTACTAATTTTATAGTCTCTCAATTTTTATTCAGAGAATCACTTACGTTTTCCTTCTGGTATTTATGATCACTGTAAATTGCCTATATCTTCCTACTGCCCCTCTAAAACAGAGGTACATTATAAGCAGTATCAGCCTTTTTAAAATTAATTCCATAATAATAGATGATAATTATTAAATTTATTTTATGTAGGAGTTTTAACTATTGTATTCACGACTTAATAATATTATAATTATTATAAATGACGTGCGTTGATTAATTTTCTATTGATAATAGTTTTAACACTTGAAAATACAGAGCCATTATCAAAAAAAAAAAAAAAAAAAACACGTGTAATACGTGATAAATACGATATTATCGAAATGGATTTACAAATTAAAATATTTAATAACTGTTACCAATATAATATTATTGGTACTGTAGATGTAAACACTATAAAAAGAAAAAAAATAATAATAGTGTTTTCATAGTGTTTATAAATTTTACTCTATGCACTCTTTTAAACTCAAAATTCTCACCTTTCTCCACCAAATAATTAATGCACAAAAATCGATGACCTTTTTTATTTATTTATTTTTTTAGTTTAATTGGATATAGGTGTATAAATAATATTAGAACGTTATGTGTAGTGTTTGGAAACTTCATGGATATTTCATTTTAGATTCTGAATGTAAGGAATGCATTGTTTTACCAAGATGTTTATTTTTTTATTTTTTTATCCTATGTACAAAAATTCTACCAGAAATCTTACTCAGATATAGTACTTATGTATATTATGTTTTATATATTTTATTGAATAACAAAATATGTGTACACACATATATAAAGGTAGAAAGGAATTAATATTGACATTGATTGACAACAAATATTACGTTTTAAAAAATTGTTTCAATTTTTTATAAAATGAAAAGTTTCTAAATTATTTTGTATAAGCATAATATATAAACCTAATATTGATTATAACACTGACGATAATGACGACTATGATGATGGCAATTATTACAAAATTATAGTCAGATTTCCAAATGATGAAAACATTTATCAATACAAAATATTGCCATAAATATTCCGCATCAATATCGTCGTCGTATTTATAAATAATTTATTTCGTTTTAAGTTGTGTATACTCTGTAGTTAGCCAGCAACGATAATAATGTTGATGGAAATAATATTATAAAATTGTGAGTTATAGACTATAGTACGGCTGACGCTTATTATATTTTGTCATATAATTTGTGTTGTTGATTATCGTAATTTGTAACTCTAACGTCTTTGTGATGGGCACAAAAAAAATCGGTACGTTATTTGAGTTATAGACGAGCTGCAGTGGTTGCAGTTGATGATCGACAAAATAATAGTAATGATGAAAATAGCGAAAAAACATTTTTAAGTGCATTGATGATAAATTAGAACAATATGATACATTCCGAACTTGTATTCTAGATTTGGAATAGAGCGAAGGATATTAGTTTTATTATAATGTTTGCGTTTTTTTTTGTCTGAAAACAACTTTTCGGACAGGAAACTTGCTCCAATTTATCAAGTGTGCCACATTTTCTGATAGAAAATCTTTTTATCTAGTTTGTGTGTTAGAGATAATTTTTTAATTTTCCAAGGGAGTTTTCAAAAAAAACTTGGACCTAATCTAACTGGGAATGGGTGGAAGTGGGTTATAAGTTAGATTACTATTGTAGGTCAGTTTAGTTGGGAAGATAGGATACATAAAGTTATTTAATTTATGGTAGTAACCAACAATATACCATTAATGACGAGAAACGATTCGGAGCGAAGTTCGGTTGTACAGGTATTGAAATAATAATAATAATTACGATATAATTTATTTGGGTGCTAATAATAATATTATGTTTTGCCACATGCGTTGTAATTTGTATTTTGTAGTTCCAATATTTCTTTATTATGTTACTAGCGGTAGAATCCACCGTCTTAAAATATAATATGTAATTTATAATATAATAATCTATAGTTCTGTCAGTGAATTATAACTGTTTTTTTCTATTTTCGACGTTTAATAATAATTAAAACTTCGTGGTCGTCGAAATTCGGGTCACCGAGGCCCGGAAAGAAGGCCGACCGAAGCGTTGACTGTGGTTTTTAAGTGAATCCAAAGGAGAGAAAGCTGTCGGAGCGTCTTGTCCTTAGCCATGGCGTTCTGTAACTAAAGGTTACGCCATGCCAGGCATCTGTCTCATGAGGGCGGCCAAGTCTGTATTGCGGCGGTAACCTACGACTCGATGAATAATAAACAATGTAATAATACTAAAATACTAAAATGGGCCACCTCAAGTCGTACAAAAATAAACGTGTCGAGATCAGAATACTAGAGTAGTAAAAGTATAATATGGACTCGTATGAGTGGTTATTACTCAATATTCTATGATATTGATATATTAGTTATTATATTATAAATTCATCATAGTAGCTAGTGATCTGTCAGCTCCATGGCGCGGCGCCTCTGTGTAGGTCACGGTGGAATAATACGTGTAGTATAATATTATTGTATTATTTGTTGTAATTTCATGTACCTAATTGATATTTTATTTTGTATTAAAATCCTCAAAATTAAATCGTTATCTATTGTATGCTATATGTGATCCCGTAATGTAGTTAACAACAACGCTGTAGCTGTTCGATATTATAACCGTATAAATACTTGATATTACGAATGAAATAAATTTACAATTATAACAAAATCAAATATAATAATTATTGCACTAAGGCAATTTAAAAATGCACAGCAATTACCAGCATTTACTTATACATTCCTACGTTCTAAATTACTAATTCCAGACGTTGTAGAACATTATTTAACGAATAACTTCTGCGTGTTCATATTGTTCATTTGTCCATTACCTTCCATTAAAACAATTTTAAGTTCAGAATAAATAAATAATTATTTATTGTTGCGTACAGATATAAATAAAATAACTTTTTTTCAATATATAGCATTAAAATCCTGATTTCGCCCATGTCTTGCGGCATAAAACTCCAATCTGAATAACAATAATACAAATACTAATAACGAAATGCCCGTCAAACGTGTCTCGTAAGCACTCGTCTGTTCATCAATAATGATAATATCATATTATACGTATAATTTATACACATATATACATATATAATATGATAATAATATTATAATATTATATGCTCAGGCATATCATTATAATAATATTTATGTGCTACGTCTATCGCGGAATTTTAAATGAACAAATTAATTTTACAGTTTTTAATATACATTTTTAATATAACGATTGACGACAGCTTTCACCAAACGATTAAGAAACAATCGAGAAAAGCGTTGAACATTTTCAAACAAAATATAATATTAGATAAACTTAACTATAGGGTCTTATAAATGTTTTATAATACAGACAATTTTGTCGTGAAATACATATTTTTATCAAAAAGTGAACTATGTGAACATTTGTTAAGGTAATATTCTAAAATATTAATTTTTTTTTTATTTTTCCTTATAATATAAGTAAATCAAATATTGTTGTTTGAAATTGACTATATTTTTATGAGTAGGTAAGTTTGGTTAAATAAAATAATTAATTTTCGGTAATTTGTATTTAAACAAAATGCAAATGTGTTGCTAAATAAAAATAATAATAATATATTAATTTGTTGTACTTTATAAGTCCCACGCTCTGGATTGGTTTTCCTAACCTAACCTTAAACAAAAACGGTCCTTTTATATCTTATCTTCTGCAGTTGATTATATTATAGCACCTATTAGATAATACGAAAAAAAAATCCCGCGGAAAACGGCCGTGCAAAATCTCTCTAAAATTTGTATCATGTTTAAAATGCTCGATAATCTTAGTACTTAATATATTATATATTATATATGGATAATAATTTATTTATCAAAATTGACGTATTGCGAAATGGCTTTTTAAAATGCATGTTTAGTAAGCTATTTGTAAACTCCAACCTAGTCCCTTTTTACCTGCCGAAAATAGATGGTGTAATCTCTTACACATACATTTTAACAGTTTAGATTCTGAGTGTAGCGAGGAATGTACAGTGATGTTTATTTGAGAAAATTGCATTTAAGCGAGAAAAAACGGTAAGATTTTACGATTTTACAATTTCATTATTTTAAATATACACGCACGACGTTTTATATCAAAAAATAATTCTTTAATGGATATGAGACTTTTTTTGTTACATTTTGGAAAAATATTTGTAGACTTACAAATGTAAGATATTAAAATATAAAATACAATTTAGTAAACATAGTAATATAAGACATCTTATCGGAAATTCTTGAACACTTCGTAAAACAAAAAAATTGAATATCTGTATTATTTCTGACAGTGTTGTTTGTTATTTTGCATTGTGCACGTGTTTTTCGTTACCTAGTTTATATTATTATTTCATTATACTTATTCATTTACTTCATTTACTTATTTTAATGACGTGAATAAAAATTGTATTATAATATTTTGTTTTTGATTTTTGTAATTTATGATTGATTTTTCCTTATTTTAAAATACTTTATTTTACTTTTTACAACTTAACAACCATCTAGTGTAGGAGTTAACACCATGTCAATATACTTTTGTAGAAGTTTACCATCCCCCGTTTTTTTAATTATATTATTCGTTTCACAGTGTAAACCCGTTTCCGTACGACGATGACAACGGTCACTGATCTCGGTACAGTTAAAACTGGTCTGGGCGGTGGATCGGTTTTACACTCCTCGACAAATACGACAAAAAAATAAATAAAAGTATATGTTGTATAGGTTGTATAGGTTATAATACCAGAGATGAACAAAAAATCGCTGGTCTTAAAAAAAACTTTTATTTCTGTTCAATCCAATAACAAATGTAGAAACAATATACCTACTTAATGTAAACAAATACCTACACCTATACTTATAAACACGATTATCATAGTTTAAAAATCTTGGTGAAACCTGGGGGTGGTTGTGCTCTCATATTTCCTTGAACTTTGTATCCATAATTAGCTTAGCTCGGTGGTTATCGATACTTTGGCATGGTATTCAGACTTAAATATTGTTATTATTTTTTTTTTTTTATTGGATTTTAAATTTTGTTTTAACGATAATTTATTTGATGGCTAGCAAAGGGAGGAGAGGGAAATTTGTTTTTTCTGAGAATCTAAAAAATAAAATACTATATGAAATTTAAATATGGACATATACGTGTACAGTAGAATAATATACATTCTAATGAAATGGTTTTTTGTTAAAAACCACAGATAATTGTTTTTTATTTTGCACTCGATTATATATTAATGTTTAGGTATTAATATGTCGATGTTCGTACATGCTGTTCTTCCTGTTTTCACTTTTTTTTTCTTTTGCTCAAATGTTAACGGTACCGTTTAATTATTATGTTAGATATTATTATATACATCACCCAATGTATGCATCATGGTCGATTTGTCATGGTCGATTTCACAAATAAGTAATTCGAATTTGCTCATATATTATAGTATAAATTTCTCATTACGTACTACATACTCATTACATTGTATATTATACTTGTAGGTATTATAATATTTCGTTTTCTTGATAATACAAATAATATATTCTATTCAAATTATAAACACAATTATTATTGTCTACGTGAATCCTATCTTACAGTTTTCTCGTCACTACGGTTACCTATAATACTACTTTTACACGGCTTAAAAGGAATTTACTGCATATTATAGCAGTTAGTTCTCGAAATTTACTATGCAGATGTGTTAAATGATTTCAATTCGATCTTGATAATATTGTGTAAATCGAAAAAACTCAAAGTTGTCACTGATACTGGTATAGAAAAGGTCCACACAGTGTGTAGGGTACACAGCAGCTTGTTTTAATCGGTCATAGATCGTTTTATATTTAAATGATAGTAGTTTTACTTCTTACTATAATACCGCGTGTGCTATTTTTAACGTGTATGTGTATGAGTGTAAACACACATTTTTAATCAGGCATTTTCCTCCGAATTCATCTAAGGGAGTATTTTTCGGTAGCAAATTTTGTCTAGCCTATATATTATAGTCTAGCCTATTATATTTTACATTCTAATTCAGTAAAAAAATTATTTGAAGTTATCAAACTTTTTACCAAATATATATTTCATTTATATTGAAACGTCGTAGAATTTCTTTTAAGCTATTAATAACAATTTTAAATTTTCGGCCGTGCATACAGATTGTCTATTATACGTACTCATGAGCTCAACTTTTGACTCCGTCTATGAATTATTTTTAATATTTAATTGCATGCGTGGGAGGCTTGTTATTTTTACCTATTTTACTTTACCCTCTCCCATTGGCAAAATTATACATGATTTACATTTCAACATAGGCACTGTTTTTCTATCTTTATTTGATATATATCACTATGATTATCAACAAGAGGTTAGCTTATGTTAGGATAGTAAAAATGAATTAAAGCAATTCTCACCAAAAAAAGAAAAAGAAATATGGCCTTGACTTAAGATCTTTCTGTTTATTACTAAATATATTCAATTATCAATTAATCATTTGTGTCCGGTGTGACTGGTAGTGTTTCGTTTAATGCGCTCTGCTATCTTATTTCGGTTTGTAATAAAAAATTATTTATAACTAATAATTATTGTGGTATACTGTACGAATTATCATTTCAACGTTAATAACTTAATAATGTTATGCTCAGTGTGTATGGAAGACGTGCTTGACGGCGATGAAATTAAATGCACAAAGTATAAGGTGTTTATGTGAGCTTTAGAGAAAACTCCTTCAGAAAACTATCTTCTATAGTTAAAAGTAAATTTTCTTGTTCCGAATATAAAACAAGTACTGTGGGAGTCGCAAAGCAAAAATACGAAAATTGAAATAATTGGAATACCAGAAAGTAAAAACGAAAATTGTATAAAGATAGTTGAAGATGTTACATCTAAATTTGATCAACAAATTTCAGTAATCGAAGCCTATTGTGTGAATTCAAAGTCTAAAAACAAATATTTCAAAATTGTAGCTGAGATGAGTTCTTCCGACCAAAAAAGTAAACTGATGGAATCCATGAAAAAGAAAAAAATCTTTTGGTTACTTTACTTCGCAGTTTAATTTATAGTTTTTACAAACTACGTTATTTAATTCCTGTTAATCTATTACGAACAATATACTTAGCCATTTACCAAGCCATATTTCAATATGGTATATTAGTTTTAGATGGTTTAACTGATAATGCTTTACATTCCTCAATTATTCAACACAATCGAATTGTTAGAATATGTTTAAACAAAATCACCTTGGAAGATTCATCCAATAAAAATTACAAAACGTTTACCAAACTATTATTTAAGAAAATAGATATTATGTGGATAGTAAAAAATTTTAATCTATGAGTGAATGTAATGGTAATAGAAAATATTTTAGCGTATAATACGAAAGTATCTTACTCTAATAAGTCATTCAGTAAAACAAAGCGGGTTATCTAGGATCGTGTTTTTATAATTCTATGTCAAGTTAAAAACTAATATTTATTTTAATAAGATCTATAATGTTAAAAGAGATTCCCTTTAAATAGTTGTTTTTATCTATTACTTAAAAATGAAATTCTGTGTTTTAGTATATTGTTAGACGTCTTGTAACAACATAAAATCTTTTAAAATATTTGTTTGTATAGATACTTTAGTTTAAGCAAAGATATAACATAGTAAATTTAATAACTTAATTAACTTTGTAAATATTAACTCTCTACCTTCGCCACAAGCCTAGCTTATAGAAGGTAGAAAAATTGTATTTATTTATTTATTGTGTAATGTTTTTGATTGTAATTCTTATATTGTTTTGCGATTAAATAAATGAAATTTTGAAATTTTGAAATATTTATTTGTTCGTCAAAAAAAAAAAAGAAAAGAAAGTTATGTTTGTTGGATTTTGATAGCACGATTTCTGCTAAAAATCCAATACCTTCATAGACTTCTAAAATGTTTTCCTTAGTCCTCTGTCAAGTTTTGTCGACGTATTGAACAACAATCATGTAAAATAGTTGCAACCAATATTAACAAGTGTTATAATCTCTAGTGCGAGATATAATATGGTGATTACAGGGATATTTTTTAAGTTTTTTATGCACAGTCAACTTGATGCACGTGTCGTTTTCATTGTCATCATTATTATTTTTCAGGATTATGATATCGCAAAATAACGATTAAATAAATTATCATAAATTACAATACATTTGTTATGCATTATATAATATTTGTTTGTTCAAAGCTCAAATTAGATAAAAAAAAAAAAACGATTTTTATTTTCATAATAATAATACTCGTAATAAAAAAGCTGAATATAGATATATTTCGCACGATGGTCCACTGTTGTAGTTAAGAAGTTAGGAAGGTAGATTAAAGAAGGAAATTAATGTATATCTGTACGTAACCATTAATCATTGCAAACGAAAGACGATTTTAAATGGAGTTCGGCTATACATGTTTTATATATTGATAATTTTGATATTAAAACATTGTTATAAAAAAAAATTTACATTACACACAATCTTTTTCATTTTTTGAAAACAAAATATAACTTCTAATGTTTTTCCTGTTAAATTTTCAAGCATTTCTGTTTGATCTAACAATTTTATCCACAGAGTACCTACTAAATAAAAATTACGTAAAATTCGCAAAATTAAAATGTCTGTAAATAGCTTAACAATGGCTCAAATGTATTGAAAATTTGACCACGTTTAGAAAAAGGAAATATAGGTTTTCTGTCCTAATTTTTAGTCCAGTAGTTACGAACATTTTTAACAGAATTATTACAAACAAATTACCGTTTTTGTTTACTCATTAAATACAACAGAAATACGCGTAAATAAAATAATAAAAAAAGCTGATACTGGGGATGAGAGCAGCCACTGTTGTAGGAAAGAAGTTGGAAGGTAGGATACATAAGTTAATTTCATTTATATCTGTAAGCAACGATGAACCATTGCCTGACGAAAGACGATTCCAAGCGCAGTTCGGTAATACATAATTTGAAGTACTGTAATTTATTTTACGATTTTCGTTTAGATTTGATTTTAAAACGCTTATTAAAAAAAAAGAAAATTCGCCCGATAATTTTGGATATTGACCATGTCTAGGTAAGTCCACAGACTAGAAAAAAGAACAAAGAAAATGAAAAAGAAATGAACAGTATTGTAAAACCGATAGCAAAATTGAAAATTTTGCTGTTTCTCCTACTTTTTCCCCGTTTTTCTCCAATTATTAAGAAACCACTCGGGAAACCAAAAATCCTTAAGTTGTATCCTAGAAAATTTACTTTCAGAAAAAGTGTTCCATTTAAAAATTGAAGCAAGATTACTGATAGATAGATTGTGCACAGATTAAAAACAAAAAATAAATAATTTAATATCATTGTAAAACAAACACATTCTTTGTTTCGTTCAAAATCTAAAACAAAGTTGCGTTTTTTTTGAACTTGTGTAATTATCTAGACAACGAGACATAATCTTAAAATGGAAATTTTTACCTCTTTTCAAGTACATAAGCACTTAAAATATTAATATGTACTCTTAACTCTTGCCTTCATTTTTGTAATTAAAATACATAAGTATTAATGTTTAAAAAAACAAAAAAAAAAATAAATTGTTTTGACAATTTAAGAAACAAGCATATTATTTAAAACGTTAGAGTAGTGAATCAGTATTCAAACGCCGCATGCCGGGTCGCCAAATACAAATGATACGCTACTACTTTCCCTCTATTTAAACTTTAATGTTGAATATTTCGTGAACGGGTTGATGAAAATCAAAACATTTTAGTACCAATTTTTATTTGAACTAATACACTATCTACATATGGAACTTTAAATATAGATTACCATTTTAAAATCAAAATTTATTAGGTAGCCATTTCAAGCCCAAATTTAAGAATAACAAAAAAAACCTATGATGATGTAACATTTTAGATCTGCTCTTTTCTCAAATTGTTAAAACATTATTTTTTTTTTTTTTAATAAAAATCTAAACTTTCCGAAATAATGAATGTCCAACGACAAAAGAATCACATTGTATAATGATCTATTATATTATATTGTCTGGTCATAATATATTTTGTATTAATCATAACTTTTATTTTTGTTGATTTTTCTTATTGTTTTACGCATTTGGTCTTTGGTTTCAGGAATCCAACATGGTGGAAGAGGAGGACTAATCTGGAACGTAATCTGACCGTCATAGCCGGTGGAATGATCTTGGCTTCACTGTTTTTGGCAATGGCACTGTCCACATTGTACTTCAACCACAGTTGTAACATGGGTGAATAAACAATAACAATAATAACATAACTTAAGCAAATTATACGTCAAAAATATTTACAAGTGTTATGGTTCAATAATAGGTATATAATTTATGTATTCGAAATTCTGGTGTATACCAAGCCATTACCGGTATTTTTGGTCACAGCCAGGTTATAATAGCGAGAAATATGCAACATATATTTCAGAAGAACAATTCGAATATATCCACGGATGTTTTTATTTTTTACCTTTCACTACTTGCATTTTTTGGTTTTAATACAGTGTTCCCAATTTTCAATGATTGAAAAACGACCTTCTATGGCGTTATTATAGTGATAAATGATAAATTATAAAAAGAAGCACTACAGTCAAATTTGTCTGTCTCGGAATCATAAATTTTTGCTCAGCTTAAAATTTTATAAAATACAAAAATCAAATCAATAAAGTATTTGTATAAAACATTTAACTAGGTATTTGAAATTTTGAATACTTACCTATTTAAAAATTTTTTTCAAAAATGCTTTGTGTTTGAAATTTAATACTTCAAATGATATTAAATTAAAAAAATATAAAAATAACTATTATACCAAATATACTTTTAAACATTTACGATACTAAAAGTTTGATAGTAAAGTGCCTACTCGTACGTATTGTAACTTCCTCAGTACATTTTTAATTAATATAAGTATTCAAAAACTTTTAAAAAGTATAAGTTTTTCAAGTCTTTGACTAATAAATTACGTCTTAGGATAATGGTAACGGAAGCAGCCACTGTTATAAGTAATTTAATGTACACATGTAAGCAACGTTAAACTATTGCTAACGAAAAACGATTCTGAGCGGAGTTCAGTTGATAGTGATGCTTTGTTAACAATATATATGTCATATTAGAGTAAAATAATTAAATAGGCTTTATATATTTTCTTTAATACTATTTGTTTAATATTGTACCGATTTTTCTGGGTTTTCTACGTATTCCTGGTTTTCCCATGTTTTTTCTCGGTTTTTCACATTTGCTAGGAAAACTACTAGAAAAATCGATCAGAATTCTTTTAGAAAAGATGCTACAATTAAAAACCGGAGAAATAGGTCTGGTAGAAAAGTTGCATACAGATTAAAAAAAAAAAAACCTTGTATAACCATATGCTTCTTCCCTCCACTCAGAATCTAAAACTTGTAGTATTCTATATTTTCGTCATACCCCAACCCCCTTTTCTTATGGTGAAGTTATTAAACAAGTTAACAATTTTATTATATACATACAATACTAACGCGAATCTCCGGAAAGAGGTAGGAAACAAAATAACTATTATTTGAACAAGGAGTATACTATTGTATAGCAGTGCGATTATCGGACAGAGAGGGTCGAAAATGATCAAACTGGATGGTGCATGCGGGAGATCACCGGGAAAATACATTTATCTCATTTATTTGGAGGACATTTTACAAAGAAATGTTATACATACGACATATGTATACTTACATCGAAAGTTTTTGTGAAAACTAATGGGATCAAAAAAAAATCGCCTAACATTTCTGAGCTCTCGAGACGGGATCACCTCTGGTGGCGGCCTTTGTCCGAATTCTTTCGATTTAGTTTTATACTGTGCCATCATGGCCTTGATTAATTTTCATTAAGATTCGATCGACAGACTAAATATTGTGGTTAGGTTATATGGGCACCCGCAGTATTCGGGATTACGAATATCGCTCTGTTAGTATATAAATTCGTCGAGCATATTATATTTATATACAACTAATATGGCGGGTGTAATTTTTATTTGAGTTTGAGGGAGATCGAATTATTATTAGGTACACTACGGAAGATTTTCGAATATTTTTGTTTACCAAACAAGACGCTAAACACACTATCATAATTTGTTGTTTCCGTCTTACATTCACCAAACCATGACACCAAAAATGTTTATTTTCAAGTGAGATACAAGGTATGAAGTACAAAAATATTTAAAAAGACGTCCTAGGATAATGGGGATCAGTACAGCCACAGTTATGGATAATTTAATGTACCTATACCTGTAAGCAACAATAAATCAGTGCTTATGAAAAAACGATTCTGAGTGGAGTTCAGTTGATAGTGATGCTTTTTCGACAATATAAATGTCATATTATAGTAAAATAATTAAATTGGCTTTATATATTTTCACATTTGCTGGGACAACTCTTAAAAGAATCGAAAACTGACCTCTCTAAAGTATCTTCCTAGTGAAATTTCCTTTTAGAAACATTGCTATTATTATAAGTTAAAGCAAAATGGCTGGTAGAAAAGTTGTGCATATAAAAAAAATCCTAAGATTTTAGGAATATCTTTCGTGGCTATTCCGTTTTTATTGATTTTTGAAATTTGATGAGAAAATTTCGTTATAATTCAACTCAGTAGGTATATACACAATCTTATACCTATTCTACACTTTTTTTTTCTTACTATGAAGTGTTTTTATTTTTGTGTCTGATGATACTTTAGCAAATAACTACACAAATCGCCCCCATCGCCCCTTCCTCAAGGCTCAAATACGCCACTGCAATGGAATGTAAATTTGCGGAAAGTAAAATTACGAAACGTTATATCGCGGAACATAAAATTGAGGAATGTAAAAACTTGGATCGTATTATCGCAGAACGCAATATCCCGGACCGTAATACCCCGGAACGTCAAGTGGTGGAATATAAAATTTCGGACTGAAATATCCCGGACCATGAAACCTCGGACTGCAATATGACAGAAAGTTATAATGAAACGTAAAATACCAGAACGTAATGTTACGGAAAAATAAAAATTGATACCTAAACTATTAAACGCTAATAGCCACCATCGCTATTCTAAGTTAATGACGGACAATAGCCCATCGTTAACAATTCAAATATGAATAAGTAACGGTTTTTCAACAAAGAGCCTGACCTGCTGTGCAGGCTGTCTTAAGATGGAAGCCGTATGTTCCTAATTTATTCTTGAACCGTCGGTCGAGTCTGTTACTGAAGCACCACCGCCGTTTGTTACCATGTTATTTGTTAGTTTTTACCCTTGATTATTACTTAAACAAATTGCTTTCGCCAAAAAGGTTTTCTTATGAAAATATTTTCAAGGACTTGTGCAAAAGAATTAAAAAACTTTTATCTACAGTGACAAACAACATTTTACATTTCCGATTATTGATTTTGGTATCACGTCTCATGGAGAATATAAAGTTCCAAATAGGTGGCTATAATACATATTGTGAAGTTTTTGTTATAAATCACGTTTTTACTAATAAAAGTAAATAATATTTTGATCCTGATTTTATTTTTTTGGATTTAAATAAATATCTTTCGAAAAACACGGAGAACGTTCAGAAACATATGAAGAAATTTAAAGCTTCCTACTGTAATTTAAGAGAGGTTAATCTACTAAATGTATTAAAAAAATACAATTTGCCAATTTGACAAGTGTCACTTTCCAAACTACAAATAAGGTGACGTAACATTATGTAAACTGCAGTAAATGCAAAACATCACATTAAAATAATAACAGCTTCTATTTTTTAACTATCTACCTATCTATTTATCTATCCTTTTAACTATCTATATTATTACTAAACAATTGAAATGCAACTATAAAAAGAAAATTTGAAGAGTTAAAGAATGCTGTGTAAACTTGCTTTTGGACTCGCTCAATTATAGCAGAGTCGGAGGCTGTGTGAGGATCCCACAAAAACTGAACCATACTCGAGCAGGGAACGGACTAAGAAACAATAGAGAGTCTTCACCAGAGAGATAAGCTTGAAGTCAGACGATATTCGCTTTACGAATCTTAGAGTCTTGTAAGCCTTACAACTAATTGATTGGATGTGAGAGTGAAAATTAAGGTCAGAAGAGAAAATAACTACCAGATCTTTTTTACGACTAGTCTATGATAGATTGAAATTGTTAATCGAGTAGGTGTGGTCAATTAAAACACGAGATCTGGTGAAGGACATTGATTGGCATTTATTAAAATTGAAGTTAAGACCAATAGATTCAAATAAATTGACTAATTATATTGTTATTAATCTCAATGCATTTTCTTAAGAAGGCGTTATTCGTTTATTAACTCCGTCTTACAAATTTATGACATAACAAATTCGCATTCGTCAGGGAGAATATTGTTCTGTTAAATATTTGAATAGTAGAAAAAATAGAGTGGATTATTATACAATTATTATCATTATCAAACGTAAAGACAAGGATATTATTTTAATAATGTATTTTTTCGATATTTTAATTTTCAAACAATATGAATAGGTGTATGCAATATTATAATCTAATAATGTTTACTGAAAATGTTCGCTTGAAAATTATAATGTCGATAAAATAGCACCAATATTATATAGATCATTATATTATCTTTAAGTTTGATGACAAGACAATTCATTATAATATAAAGACGAATAACACAAAGCAAGGGCGCCCATTAGGGGGTACAAAGGGATAACATACCATCCCCTAGAAAAATTATATTGTGATTTTTTTAGTTTTAATAATTTAATTTTTCTAATGATAATGACAAGAAGTAGGTACTATGGGAGAATATATAGGTTGGTTTGGTTAAGTAGGACTATGTATACTCAGTGTTCATACAACACCAATTGTGTTAAAAAATTTAGCTTGCAAAAACGAAATTAACAGTTGTTTTTTTAAAATATTATTTTTGTTCACATATAAAATTTATGTTTGTTGTGTTATTTAATAAAATCAAGTTTTTTGGTTCTTAGTTTTAAATTTTTTTATTTTACGATTTTCACCCCCTTAGATTTAGACAGATTGGCGCGCTGGGCACAAAGTTGTCCTTTAAAAACATTTATTTGCTATGTCAGAGCGCGTTCTTTTGAATATTTAACTAGGTAATAAATAGTGATAATGAAAGATATGTATTCAGAAGATCTACCTTTGGAAATTCCTTGCATGTCCATGCCACGTGACAGAATATATAATATAATAGCTGCAGTTTGTCTGAATGACTATTGTTCAATTATATGCACGTTAAAAACCGCAAGACAACGGATATTTTATAATATGTATCTGATAGTTTATTATAATAACATTAGAACAGCTATCTAAAATGTATTCCTTAAAAATAAACCTATTGAAGAATGAATTAGTTAGATAATTATATTAATTTTAAAAAAAATCTACTAGTTATTAAATTAACATAGGTAGGCATGAAATAAATAAAATTAACTTATCTTTCAATTCTTGAGCATTGTAATTTATTTACTGTACCTAGATTGAAAAAAAGTGCCGATGCAAGTTCATTTTGGATTATCTCAGATTCTGAAAATACAGCAGAAAATTGTAGCCAATTTCTCGTTTAAGTATTTTAATACTAGCTTCGAGTCATTCGAATATTGTACCGGTGTAACAGGCAAATCTGATGTCAGGCGAACGTGACTGCAGAGAATCAGATTTCCCCGACGTCACATTTGCCTGGGGTATAATGTATATATATGTATTAAAAAAAAAATTAAAAAAAAATAGTGGCCACCGGTACTTGGCTACCTATATTGCAAAGTATGTCAAATATTCATGTTATATGTATATGTTTAAGACGCATAATATGTTTACCATATTTCCATATTTAATATTGCACGGTGTATTTGACATGATTAATTCCTGTACACGTGGAAAGTAAAAATTAATAATTATAATAATTGTTCGTATTTCTTTAATATATATATATTAAAATGCGTGTTGTACTTGATCAGCAGCAGCATTATTATTATAATATTTTATGGCTTTTGTTTTTTTTTTTAAATTTTCACCGAAAATAGTGACCTACGATGTATTGTATTTGTGTCTTTCCAGTTACTTTTAAATATTTCTAGTGGATAATTCTGGACCAACTGAGCTTGAACATGAGAGTTTAAGTATTTTTGTTTGTAGATTTAAGTAATAAAAGTTGGATTGAATACGAACATGTTATAGCCATTTGACATTTTCTTGTTTTTAGTTTTTTTTTGTTTTATGTGGCTCTATGTTTTGACAGAGCAGAAATGTTTGAATATTTTTCACGATGTTTATCCTGAGTTGGATTTATTGGACAATAACTAATTTGAGCGTATCTTAATGCAGTTGTTTTTTTATTATGCAGTATTATTTTAGAATTTTGTTTAAAATAGAGATTATACTCATATATATATAACAGATCTTTTTTTTTTTTTTTTTGATGCTTTGGACATTTATAGCGGGGCTAATTTGATTTTATAGTGATATAGTTCTGTTGTTCGGTTAATTTTTCTGTAGTATTTAATGTTTACCTATATAACATTTATACCGATAAGAATCTTTTCAATTATTCAAATTTAAATACACGGATGTCCGATGCTGTTATAAGTAATAACTGTATCTACAACAACGTTCATATTGCATATTATTATTCAAATAAACATAATATACATTACACATATATTATAATATTGCAGAACGACTAAGTCCAACGGTACCGACCGATCGACTGACCGCACGACATACATATTTGCTCGTAAATCGGACGAGTTATCTTAATTATACAAACGGACACAGAAAGGATATTGGAATGTTTCGTTTTAAATATAATATACGTGTAATATAACTTATCTGAATAAAAAAAAAAAATAATAATAATTGTTTCGACAATTTAATAATGTATAATAATTTGTAACAGTAAAACATCTCATCAAAACTTATTATAATATGGTCGTTGGTCAGTGTATTAAATTTCGTAATCTTACATGTGTGTAAAAACTCATATAATACATTTTAATATTATTAATACACTGTTTTAGCTGCACTCGAATGTCGAGACGAAGACGACTGTGATTCTTCAGAATTTGACATTTATTCCTGTACGTAATTTGATATCAGAAATAATAAAATCCTGCAAGATACACTCTGTATATACTAAGGCTGTATTTGGTTTTCAGAACTTGTAGCCCTTAAAATCGTTTAAATAAGTGTTTTAAAGCCGTAGCTCGTCATGAACCATAAAAGCAGTTTTAAAATTATAATAATTATATTGTAAAAAAAAAGACGGATATACTTCGCACGTGGATGGGCCACTATTGTCGTTGAGTAGTTGGGAAGGTAGAGGAGAAATTTAATGTATATACAGATATACGAGAACATTAACGACAAACCATTTCTAACAAAAAACGATTCTGAGCGAAGTTCGGTAAATAGTGTTGCTTTACAATATATATGTCATATTATTGTAAAATAATTAAATAGGCATTATATATTTACTTCTATTGTGATACAATCTGAGTAGTATCAATATATTATTCCTACTTTTCCTCTTCAAACATTGATACTATATATACATGTGGCATTTAAAACATCACTAAAGGTTGCACACACTTCCCGAGAGGGAAAAATGAGGATATTGGCAGCGAAATGAAACTAGAAAATCGTGTCTTCTTTCAATTTCCAATGAGCGATGACGCGTAAACACACTAAACGCATTATGTAACAACAGTTATTATTATTTGTTTTATTCAATGAATTGTTTATAGTTAGTCGTCTCGTGTATTAATGTGTGTGCATTTAAATTAGACATATAACGATTTCCGCGATAATGCCGGAAAATGGTTTTTATTTCTCATTTGTAGGTACCTATATTATGAGAATAGGTTTGTACATTTATCCAATGCGCGTCAAGATTATTATAATATATTGTCTCCGACCGTTTGACTCATGAAGATGAATTCCGTAAAATACATGAACCTTGAATTCTTAACGAGTATACATATGAAAAAATATTGCTATAATTTAATTATAATATTATTAATATTTTTATACGTTTTTAGTATTTTACCTGTTCATATATGTATTAAATACGTGTATATAAATTAGCGATCTATGTAACGATGTTACTATATTATGTTAATTCTATGTTAACTTAATTTGCCAAATTGTATCCAAGTCGTATTCACTGGTTATAAGTAGTTTAATGTACACATTTAAGCAACGATAAACCATTGCTAACAAAAACACGATTCTGAACAGAGTTCAGTTGAGCGTGCTGCTTTGTCAACAATATATATGTCATATTATGGTCAAATTCTAATTATGCCAATATTTCAAAACGTTATCTTGGGTAGATTAGCCGTAATAACATTTGCCCTGGTTCTTTTTGAACAGACCTCGTACCTACAATATAATAGTCAATTACATTTTATTTTTAATGGGTTTTAATGATGACGATAAGGACAACGACGACAGCATGACATTATCGAATAATAATTATTTAAAACCGCATATTATATATGCGGGTAAAACAGGTGGTATACTAATAACAGCAGAAGAAAAGGTAAACAGATGGAAGGAATACTTAAAAGAATTTTATACATGTCAATTTAGTAGAAATGTCTTGGAAGAAGAGAAATGCGTAGAAGAGGAAAACAAAGGAGACTATATCCTTCAATCAGAAATTGATTTTGCTATAGAAAATTTTGAAAAAACAAAACATGTGGTATAGATGAAATCCCAGCAGAATTAATAAAGTGTGCCGGAAAAGGAGTAAATAAAAAACTTGGAAATATATGCAACGAAATGTACTTGAACGGGAAAATAATCAATGATTTCAGGAAAGGCATTATTGTAACAATTCCCCAAAAAAGGGATTGTGAGGAATATAGAACTTTAAACCTTAATACGCATTTTTCAAAAATAATAACAAGAGTAGATGCAAACCTAGGTTAAGATCAATTTGGTTTCAGGCGAAATATAGGAACTAGATAGGTGACCTTGGCGTTAAGAATAATGGTAGAAAAACAGATTAGACGGAACAAAGAAACCTTCATCGCTTTTTAGATCTGGAGAAGGCATTTGACAACGTACAATGGAAGAAATTGTTTAAAATCTTAAAAAGAATAGGAATTAAATGTAACGATAGAAGATTTATCTATAATATGTACAAAAGCCAAACGTCTTAATACAGATAGATGGGAAAGAACGAGAAGCAAAAATAAAAAAAATAGTTAGACAGGGGTGTATATTGTGGCCAATGCTTTTCAACTTGTATAGAAACAAGAGACAATGAAATAATTGAGAGCAGAAATACAGAAAGGAGTGCGAATAGGAGGAAAAATGGTTACTGCCTTAAGATTTGCGGATGACATCACTTTCTGCGTGGAAAATGAAGAGTACCTACAAAATACTCTAGTAATAATAGATAAAATACTATAAAATAAGTGGGAAATGCAATTGAACAAAAAGAAAATGAAAATTATGGTATGCAGTAAAGCTAATCCGGTTCGACTCAACATAAATATCGACAATGAACAAATAAAGCAAGTACAACAATTCACATACCTTGGAAGCAATATAACAGAGGATGGCTGAAGCAAAACAAATATAATCTGCAGGAAAAGTATGGAAAAGTATTCAATCAAGAGGAGACAAATTGATAGAACACATATTAAATCATGAAAGTTAATTAAAGAAAATAATTGAAGGAGATGTTGAAGGACACATTACAAGAGAAAGACCAAGAACAGAATACACGACACAGATAATGCAGGATACGAATAAGGGAAATTACAAAGACCTCAAAGAACTATGCTAAGATAGAGAAGCATGGAGAGCTGCAAAAAACAAATCTACGGATTTATAAGAAAAAAAAATATATATATTATATATCAGTATATAGTATATATAATGACAATACGTCGTCGTCCGTTGTTCGCTGTCGTTTGTAGTATAATAATGTATACAATTTAATAATATAAATAAATAAAAGAAGTTGGATTTCTTAAAAATTTTGAATAAGATTTAAAAAAAATGAACTTAAGTACCACTTAGATAAAATTTCTTTTTAGAAAAGGTACTATACTTGAAAAAGGGAGTAACATTTTTGGTAGAAAAGTTGTTCATAGAAAAAAATAAAAATAATAAACATCATTGTAAAACCGATACATTTTACGCTCTGCTCAGAATTATTACGGCATTTTGGCTTAAATATAAAATAATTATAAAAATGATAAAATAAAATAATTATAAATAATACATGTAATAACAATAAAGTAGTCATAAACGTTTTTTGGGGATACACGTTAAAATATAATATTATGTTTATACTACCTACCAAATTATAAGTGTATTGATTCAGTTCACGTAGTACGTGTTCCGACACACATCGCAAAAGTGAAAATATTCCTCGTGTGAGTTTGACTGTGTTACCTATACGTGTTATAATATTATCATTAAAAAAAAAAAAAACTGTTCGATTAAAAATATCATCTTTCAAAGAAGAGAGAGTCGGTTAGTGACCTTTTTTAATTCTATATTCACATCTGATAGTCGAATAACTGTATACATATAGTTAATGTATAATAATTTTCATATATCATTAACTATAATTTATTGAATTTATATACAATAATAGAAAACCCGGGAAAAAATTTATTGGACAAACGTCAAATGTTTACGGCGTAACAAATTTTCTTATTCTTAATTTTTGCAAACTATGTTTTTTATTATAAATATTCCTGTAATAGAAAAACATCAAAAGGCCTATTTGTTGAATTTCAAATCTAGATGCTTACAAATGAAGTAGTTTTCTGGTAGTTTTTATAATTATAAGGAAAAAAAATAAAAATTATAATAAAAAGAATAATAATTGTTAAATGAAAACTGTAAAATTTATAGCGTTACGATATCACTGTTTTGAATTACATACTTTGTTTTTTATTAGAAATACTGCTTTAATAGAAAAACAACAAAATACCTTTTTTATTAAATTTTTAATTTAGTTTATAAGAAAAAAAGTAGTTTTTTGATATTTCATGTAGTTTTTTAATAATTTAGTAAAACCGAAAAAAATGTAGAAAGATTAAAAAAATTTAAGAAAAGTTTTTTATTATATTTAATTTAATTTTAGATTCTGAGTGTGTTGATTTTACAAAGATTTTTATTTTTTTTTATATACTATGTATAAAAATTCTTGCTCCGATGTATACGAAGTAGACCTTTTTCTGAAAAGAAATTTTCTTGGAGTGGTCCTTTAGGAAGGTTATTTTTTGATTTTCCCGGCAGTTTTCCCAATAAAAGAGGAAAAGTAAGAAAAAACGTAAGAAAAACGAGAAATTTATGAAAATAATGCTTTTATAATTTGTTTAATTTTGTTATTCGTTGTAATTCAGTTAAAAATATTTACAGAGACTTGAAATTCGGACAGAAAACTTACATGGTAAATAAATATATAAATAAAAAATGTATGTATAAAAAAAAAAAAATGATTAAATGCATTATCTGGAGTATTACGAAAAGTGTATAATACGACCGGTTTCAAATTAAAAATTCATCATCAGGTATATCACAGTTAAAATGTAAAATGCTACCAAATATGAAAAATTAAACGAAGGATTACTTAGAAAAAAAAATATACAAATTGGTAATTGTCGTTTTAATCAATGTATTATTTTGTAAAAATATTGTAAATTTACCTATTTAATTATTAAAATTATAAATTTGTATATTATGTTTACGATTACGATTGTCATTTTTATTTCAATACCTACAGTTATTTTTTGTCTAATATAATATTGGGTGCACAACACTTTTAATGTGTTTTTAGTTGTCTCATTTATTTTGAAATCCTAGGGGTCGCAAGTTCAAACCCGAGTTTTGAAATAAATCGTTTGCATTTTTTTCCCCGTTTACCTAAACAAGAACTATTTTTCGCTCGAACTATTTTAATTACATTTATTTGTGATATTATTTCACATAATTTTCCAAAATCTCGCTTCAATATATCAAGTGTAGCCTATTATCTGAAAGAAAATTTTGTCTACATGGTAATTTAGGGAGGTAATTTTTTAATATTTAAAGAGATTTTTATAATACTTGAGGAAAACCAAGAAAAAATGTTGAAAAAAACGGAAAATAGAAGAAATTTAGTTATTGGCGAAAAAAAATATTATAACTCTTTTTTTTCTGTATACAACTTTTACACCAGCAATTTGCTCCGATTAACAATGATGGCACTTATTTTGAAATAAAATCTAACTAAAAAGGTATTTTCAGTTATATTAAAGAGGTCATTTTTCGATTTTTTAAGAGTTTTCTTAGCTAATGTGAAAAATCTGGAAAAAAACATGGGAAAATTGGTACAATATAATACAAATAATATTAAGATAAATGTGTAATATGTATTTAATTATTTTACCATAATATGACATATATATTGTTGACAAAGCATCGTTATCAACTGAACTGCGTTTAGAATCGTTTTTTTGCATAAAATTCCCTTCTGTATCCTACCTTCCCAACTTCTCATCTACAACCGTGGCTGCACCCTTGTGCGGAGTATGACCCCCTTTTTTTGTTGTTATTTAGTTGAATATTTTCGTATAGATTTGAAATTTTGACAGTAAACTTATACTTGCTTTTCTCTAAACGTTAGGTTAGTTGAGGCTTAAATAATTTGATTTATTCTTGAGCTATTTATAGACATTTTAATTTTGCGAGATTTTTATTTAGTAGGTATTCTGTGGATACAGTTGTGAAACTAAACCGAAATGATTGGAATTTAACAGTGGAATCATTGTAAATCGTTCTTATTAGTAAAAAAAAAATAATATTACATTTTTTTTTTATAGAAGTTAATTTTAAATTTTGAAAAAAATCTTAAATATTAGATATAATATCTATAATAAAATAATTTCTTGTAAATTGGATACGTTTTACAGTTTGTTTAAGTCTTCGTTTTTTCTCCATATACTAGTATTTAACTATAATCTGAATTTCTCACGTTATCACCAATGTATTTGATACAAAATCCAACAAAATAAATTACTTTTTTAATAATACTATTTTTCTCGTTTTATTATTATATAATGGATTATTATTCATAAATTATATACCTGTTCGTAGAGAGTCTACCATCAATATCAGCCGAAAACAACGGTCTGATAGGCAAAGCCCGCGGAAGAAGTCTGTTTCAAACCAGAGAACAAGAAAAAGACAACGTCTGCCTTACTACCGGATGCGTGAAAGCTGGTAAGGAAATTGTTTGAATACAGAACATTTAAAACTAAAATAAAATTGAATTAAAACTTCATCTATTTATGGAATTTAAATGTATGTTGCCGGATGAAAATTAAAAGTAGATAGTGATCTTACCCTGTAAAGGGTGACAAAAAATAGAAATTTAACATTTTAAAACTTATTTCTTAAAATTACTAAAAATCAAATTCCGAAAAAAGTTAATATTTTCCGAGATAATTAGTATTTTATGTTATGTTAATCATTCTGTATAATAAAAAGTAGTGAAAATTTTGTTTTCATTTACAGCGGCTGAAGTCATCAAAAATATGGACCAATCTGTGGACCCTTGTAATGATTTCTATCAATTTGCCTGCGGTAATTTTATTAAAGAAACCATCATTGACGATGACAAAACTTCACATACCACGTTCAGTGCGATTAGTGATTCACTTTTGAACAAGCTCAGACAGATAGTAACCGAGCCTATACAAACCAACGAACAAAAACCATTTAAAATGGCCAAGCTGTTGTACAAGTCTTGCATGGACAAAGGTACGTGGATAAATTTCAATGAGACATCTAAGAAATTAGAAAAATCTAGAAAGCTGGAGAAACTATGATATGCTCGTATGATACATGATATCTGACTTTCGAGTAAATTAAAGCATGCTATGAGAGCATGTGAATTAGAGGAAGAAACAGTGATGAATATGGAGATGTGGGGAGCTAGAATGTGATTGGAGTCGTATCTGATTGTATAGGTTTGTATACGAACTATATAATCTTTTTTTTTACAGAAAAAATCGAAAAAAAAGGATTAGGACCTATCAAGGAAATGCTTAAGAATCTCGGTGGATGGCCAGTGCTGGAGGGTGACCGTTGGAACGAAGCGACGTTTACGTGGAAGGATAGCGTATACAAGTACAGAACTGCTGGTTACAGCGTCGATTATTTTATCGATTTTTCAATTAGCACCGATCTTAAAAACACCACGATGCGGGCTATCGACGTATGTCACCACTGTATAATAATATCTTGTATAAATGTACCATAATATAATATTTGTTCACGTTTATTGTAGTTAGACCAGGCTTCACTGGGACTGAGCAGGGAATACCTGGTTAAGGGTACCGACGAAAAGATTGTATCCGCGTACTACAGGTACATGGTGGACATAGCTGTGCTCTTCGGAGCTGACCGTCAGAGGGCCACTAAGGAACTCAGGGAGTCGCTCGATTTTGAAATCGGTTTAGCAAAAATATCCTTGCCTCTGGAAGACCGCCGTGATGCGGCTAAACTGTACAATCCGATGAAGATTGTCGACCTGCAACAAAAGTTCCCCAGCATACCGTGGCTAGAGTACTTGAACAAAATATTAAGTCCATTGTCCATACGACACGATGACATTATAATTGTCAATTCACCGAAATATCTGTCCGATCTTGAAGCCATTTTGAGCAACACGCCCAAAAGGTAGATATACTAAAATCCTGATATATTATTATATGCTCTAATATAATGTTCGTATCCCGCAGGGTTCAGGCAAATTATGTGATTTGGAGAGCAGCTGCGGCATCCGTTAGCTATCTGACTGAAGAAATGCGAAAGAGGCAGTTGGAGTACAGTACCGAACTGTCTGGTAGGACCGAAAGGGAGCCGCGGTGGAAGGAATGCGTGGACATAAGTTCAGGAAGCTTTTCGTTGGCTATCGGGTCGTTGTACGTACGAAGGTTTTTTGACGAGGACGCCAAAAAGAACGCGTTGGAAATGGTAAATGGCATCCGGGAAGAGATGTACAAGATATTGTCGTCAATCGATTGGATGGACGAAGAAACAAGGTAAATGCGTTTGTTTTATATATATATCTATATTTTATGCATATAAATTTAAGTATTCGAAAATATCGGCTTTAATTACAAACATTAGAATTTGAATGTATGCAAAATTTAACAAAAAAATATGGTGAGCACACTTAGTGTATCATATATATATTATATTTTTTTTGTTAAATTTTGCTTACATTCAAATTCTAATGTTTGTAATTAAAGCCGACATTTTCGAATACTTAAATTTTCCACAACATTTAAGGAGTATCCGGCGGTGATACCAACTTTGGTTTTTCGAAATCTATATTAAAAATTCCATAAATAGACAGAATATTACATTAAATAAATTTTGGTGTTAAAATTGTTGATTTCGGTCAGTCTATTGACGAGATATTTCAGTTTTAAGTTTAGGTAGGAAGAAGTAGATAGTAGAGTATCATTTATGTGACAGTATGTCGTGTGGCATTTTATTAGTGCTCCACTACTATACCCCTACCTAAACTTAAAACTGAAACATCTCTTCAACGGGCTGACAGAAATCAACAATTTTGACACCGAAATGTATTTAATGTAATATTCTGTCTATTTATACAAATTTTAATTTAGGTTCTCATTTGAAAAACCAAAATTAGTATCACTACATGATACCCCTTAAATGTTATCAAAAATCGAAGTATTCGAAAATATCAGCTTTAACTACAATTAACAACTTGAAAAATCAAAATTTGAATATATGCAAAATATAACCTAAAAAATGGGGTGAGCACGCTTAGTGAATCATTCTGTATGTATAAATTCAAGGCAAATGTAATAACAAAATAAATACGGTTCTAATTGGAATTACAGGAAAAACGCTATAGACAAAGCAAAGTCGATGACCACGCATATCGCATACCCCGACGAACTTTTGGACGACAAAAAACTAAACGAATTCTATGCTGATGTAATTACACGAAGCACGCAAATGCGTATTACACTGTTGTAGTTACAGCAGTTACCTACAGTATAATAGACTCATAAAATAAATTTGTTTTTCTATTAGTTGGAAGTAAACGACGAGGACTATTATACATCTGTATTGAACTTGACCAAATTCGGAACGGACTATAGTTTCTCAAAATTAAGGCAGCCCGTCAATAAATCGGATTGGATCACTCACAGCAGAACAGCGATTGTAAACGCGTTTTACAGTGCCATCGAAAACAGTATTCGTAAGTGAAATTCGACGATTTTACAGTATTATTGAATGCAATATCACAATTATAATTTACCGTTACAATATTGTTATAATCATTAATAATAAAATAAGTTGAGTCTGTATTTAACGGATTGGTTGTTTTCCAGAATTTCCCGCCGGTATCTTGCAAGGAGCGTTCTTCTCGAGCGACCGTCCTCGGTACATGAATTACGGTGCCATTGGTTTCGTGATTGGTCACGAGATCACCCACGGATTTGACGACCAAGGTAGACAGTTCGACAAGGAAGGTAACTTAGTGGATTGGTGGGCCGAAGAGACGAAGAAACGCTACTTAGAAAAGGCGTTGTGCATCATCAATCAATACGGAAATTATACGGCCCAAGAAGTCAGTCTCAAGGTGTGTGCGAAAATAAAAATTCTCATAAGATAAACTACGTTTATGGCAATTAATCGCGCAAGGTTATTAATATTATTTTACCTGCGTTTCGTACAGATTAGGTATATGTTTCTCTCCTCCATCGAAAAAATTTCCTACCTCTCTATAAATCCCGTGTGTTATTATACCTATCATTTCTTAAATTCGAGAGGAAATTGTAACTATTTTCTTTTGTTTAAAAAAAATATTCCGAAATGTCCGTATTTATACGTCGCACATCGTATCCCCGAAAAGTTATCTATTTTACGTTGTGAAAACCATTTAATTTTTCAAGTGAAAAACACAAAACTACATATATTATATTATTTAAATATTCAGCGTGTCCTTTTCGTACAATAAATTATTGAATTTTGTGAAAAATTCGGATAAATCCCCTGGTACGATTCTGAATATACTTCTAGTTAGTCTAATCTTGCTGAAAGAGAGGGAGGTTAAGATCATCATAGAAAGAAATTACCGGGTGTAACATTATCCTAGGATAATTTTACTCCTTAGTAGAACTATTTTTTTACACCGATACATCATTAAGTTCCTTCGGAAATACGTAACAATACAATAGCACATTTTTACGAGGTTGTATTTTTATAATATCCACATTTTGCGCAGCTGAACGGCGTTAACACTCAAGGCGAGAATATAGCGGACAACGGTGGCGTCAAAGAATCATACTACGCGTACAATGTGTGGACGAAACGTCACGGGATTGAACCCCGTCTTCCCGGACTTCAGGACTACACGCCGCAGCAAATGTTCTGGATCAGCGCTGCCAACGTATGGTGCTCCAAGTATCGACCCGAGACCCTTAAGAACCGCATCACCACAGGCTTCCATTCACCCGGCCGGTTCCGCATTATAGGCCCGTTCTCTAACCTGGAAGACTTTAGCAACGATTTTAGGTGTCCGTTGGGCAGCAACATGAACCCAGTTCATAAATGCCAAGTGTGGTGATCCCGAAAGCCCCAATTATCAACCACCCCAGCCCTCTCCCCTCGGGTATGGATGCGGTCGTTTGCAACTCCATCCGCCTGCAAAACGACTCTGTTCTACCCCGCGCAAGCATTATCTGTGGTAATATTTATTTATACTATATATATATATAAAAAAAAAATCTTTTCGTGATTAAGTATTTTATTATTATGTTTTTAAGACGCATTGTAATTTTTTCTTTTTTTAAACTTATAATAAATAGAACAAAAACATTTTAATTTTAATTTTTAAAAAATCTAAGCAAATGTTTTATTTTTGTAACAATAGGTACACTAATTATAACGTTATACTTATTCTAAATAATTTCAAAGGTAAAACCAAAAAAAGTGTACATATACTTATTATTATATAAACTTTGTGTGTGTGATTTGTTAGTTTAACATAATATTATCTTTGGTAAACTTATATACAATTATTATTATACTTATATTAATATTTAAAAAAAAATAATAATAATAACTGTATTATCATCTTTACATACAATAACTGATAGTCTCGATAGTAATAATATAATATTATTAACATTTCAGTCTATTTCCATAACATATGTGGCCGGAAACACGCCAGTGGCTCCATTCAGCTCTCCTAACCACCAGCCATCCGATTTTTTACTGTGCACATGTATTACATCACCTAAAATATTTCATAAATAGCATAATAATATAGATACACAATGTAAAAACCATATAAGTACAGGGTTTTCGAAATTTAATATTACAGTAAAAATTAAGAAATATACAATTTTTCAAAAAATGCCCTATGTGAAATCCTTTTTAGTATTATTATAATTAGAGCTGTGAATTTGTAAGAAAGTACATTTTTTTTTTTTGATGATTGAGAAACGTAGCTTTGAAAGTACTTAATTTTGAAAAATTAACAACAAATCCATTTATGAAACTTTTATTTTGCATTCTTTTGCATTTGTTGACGTTTTTAATTTTTTAGGTCATTTTTGCTTTTTAGGTCATATTTTATTTTTAGTTCATTTTCCGGTACTTTTAATCAAATTCCGTCAGTTATCATCTTTGAAAACATTTTTTTTTTTAACAAAATAAAGATGTAAAAACAAATTTTAAATAAGTGTTTCAGGCGAATAGAATTAAAGAAAATATAATTTTTTTTTTTATTCAATAAATAAATTTGTGGGCATATAATAAACTAATATCAATATAATTATAAAAATTTAATTAAAAGTTATGTAAAGTGCATTAAATTTTAAATGCACTACAATTTTAGTCATTTTTTGCATATTTTTGAAATTTTAAATGCATTTTTTAAGATTTTTTAGTGCATTAAATTCACAGCCTTAATTATAATATATTCTTATGAAAATGTAACATTTTAATTTTCAAACCTAACCTAATATAACCCAACCACTACCTATTGCAGGTTAATCTTTGCTTATATAATAGATAATATTTATTTTACATTTTAATATGATGGTTAATACTATGATGAGTTTATTTTATTTTCTGTGGGTGAACGAATTCCCCACCGGAAATCTTGCTCTAATCATCAACTTTAGAGATGATGGTCTCTAGTAAAAATTGTTGTTTCGTTGGTGAAGTAAGATAGTTATTTTTTGATTTCCTTTGTAATATTCTTAACTATAAGGAAACCTTAAGAAAAAACGTCGGGAAAACTTGTTACTGATAAATTTATTGTTTCTATTTTATTCTATTTAGTTTATTCAATGAAAAATAATCTTAGAGGTCAGAAATTTCACTGAATACTTATATAGTCATAGTCCCTTAAATACAGCTTTTCCAGATATGATATAATTTTCAAATCATCCTGGTGATTTTTCAGTTATAGTCATTAAAATTTGTGGAGTTTTTAGGATTTTATTTAGTTTTATTTGATTAAAATTCGTTTGATAAATTGAAATTAGTGGAAAAAAAAAATTTTACGTAATTTAGTAATTTTTTTATAAGCATTTTATGCTCAAATCCGAAAGAAAATTGATTGTGATAATAATACAAAATATATACTGTGTTTTTAAGATAATAACCAGTAGCGAATCCTGAAGTGGTTCAAAAGGGGGTAGTTTTTATGAAATATATAATAATTATATATATATTTTACAATAAATTATTGTAGAGTATAAGAATTACATAAAATACACGGCCCAAAGAGGGGCGATCGCTATGGAACCCCCTTTATATCCGCTACTGCATCCCATTTGTGAAAAATTAGTTGAGGTACTTCGTTCCCCTGCGCCCTTCCCCAATTCGAGCCCTGTTTTTACTAAGATATGTGCTTTTATTTTTCATAAAAAAATTGTTTATATTAATAAAAATGTCACTTAAATCCTTTTTAAAATACTACTTATATTTCTTCGCTCAAAATTGCATTTCGTTTGCATTTATTAATCATTGCCTACAGTGTATAAGCTATAAATAAATTACCTTATAAAATATTCAACCACCCAACTACCCAGCTATAGACAAATGCATACTCATGGTGCAAAGAAAATCTGGTTTTTTTTTGTAAAATTATTGTTATTCTCGTTAGTCGTTACAGTGAAAATGGTCAAACTTAAGTTTTTTTTTTTATTTATTTATAATAACATAAAAAATATTTACAATCTGTAATAAGTTTATTACAATAAGTAAATGAGAGGAAATATAGAGGATTGAAGAAGGTAGGATAGAGGCAGCCGCCCAGTAACGGCATCCTTAGAGATTATTTTTATTTTTTTGGAGAAAGCAGCCCCCACACCAGTTCTTTTTGTGGCATCTTGATTGGTTAATCTAAAATTTGATTGGAAACGAAATTGATGATGAGAAAGTTTAGGTTTTCAAGAAACTTGTTAACAGGTGCCGTAATGAGATACTTTGGCTTTGGTGTTCTTTAATAGTTTGATTTTAAACAAGACCTTTTTGGGTAAATTATACTTTAGAAGTAAAGAGACTGAAAAGGGGCTATCCAAGAAGTGACATACAGAATGAATATAGAATCATAATGGAATTGGCCGTATACTATGAGGTCTAAAGATTTTGGAAAAATAATTGACCTTTAATTTAAAGTTTGTCGTTTTTTTTTTTTTTTAATATGTATCATCAAAATGGTTTAATTGTAGTATTCATATTCGAATCCCTATGACGGGTTGTACTAAATCTTTACACAAAGATAAACTCATTTATCTGGAGTTAAAATAAATACTGTTGCATAAACTGTGTTTTAAATTTTATCTGTTGATAAAAATGTATTTTATCAAGAGTTAAATTATAGACACATTTATCGTCGTGTAAAAATGTATGCATAGATAATTTAGTTATCGATGTTTTGTGTTACTTCTATTGCCGGTAGTGGAACTATTTATTTGTTAACCAATATTTTGTAATCTGAATATAAACCAACGATTGAGCAACACTCGTAAATTTAACATATGTTAAAATTAATTCATTAATAGATAACAACTTTGGTGCAACTGAATACTAATGAATGTAAATTTAATATTGTGCTAAATATTAAAAAAATAAAAATTAACTTTTTATAACATTTAAAATTAATTCGGTAAAATAAATTAATCAAGTAAAAAGTTCTATTAATATTTCAATTAAATAAAATAAATTAATATTTAAAAGATAATACTGCTAATAAATATACCACTATTTTAGTAGGGAAGTTTGAAGGAAAGATATGATATACAAGGTTTTATATAGTTGGTTTTTTTTTCAATCGGGTTTTGGATCAGTGGGGCAAATATGTAGAGAAAAATAATTTTTTTTTGATCCCTTACTCATCGGAACAAATAACTTTTTGTTTCACTTTTCAAAATTGTCTAAATACCTAGTTATTTTGTAAAAAATATTATTCTAAAAATTTAAATGTACCGGATGTTTCATAACCGATCAATAGTTTCTGAGTAATAGCTGTTTTAATTTCTAGAAAATTGGCATGAAAACAATTAATTTTCATTAAGAGATAAGGAATTATTAATAATTATATGTATCCTACCTTTCCAAATTCTCATTTATATTAATGGCATACCCAAACGCAATTTAAAATTTTTTTTTATTATAAATAACTTTTTCTCTCTTATTGTTAAGGTAACTTAAAAATCAATAAAAAATAATATAACTAGATGCTAAGTTTTTCCATTTATCAAGTAGAAACCTACAAAACATAATATCCTGAACTCAATAACTAAGAAAAGAATTCTACAAGAAATTGCCTATAAAGTTTTTGGTAGAAAAGTTGTTTACAGGCACAATGAAAAAAAAATCATAGTAAAATCAACACATTCCTCGCTGTGCTCAGAATTTAAAAGGTGAATGTTAAACTTAAAATTAACGTTCCCTGAGTAAAATTATTAATAAAATCAAAAAGTAAAACATGAGTGTTCAACATGCCTGGTTCTAAGCACAGTTCATCGTTGAGTTTTGCCGAATAATGGTAAAGTGCTTTACACCGAGGAATTTGAATATAATTTTCTTCGTCGCCATCGTTATCTTCGTTGCTTGAGAAATCGTCTATATAAAAAAACAAATCAGGTAACCCATGTTATAAGTATATAATTACACTCTCAAAATCGTCGACGTGTCGTAAAATGATAAAAAGAAATGATTGCATTTTCAGAACTATTTTTATTAATTATATAGATATTGTTGGATTAATATTATTATTGTACATGAACTTAAATTTATTGAGAAATTATTTCACAAACCGAGTGATATAACGTGAATATGAATTTGTGATACTACATAGAACATATTTTTAAAAAATTACACTGTATTAGAAAAAAAAAGTATTTAAACAATATCTCAATGCGCTGATATGCATTGGTAATATTATAATTAGACATATCAGGTTTAAGATTTTTTTTTTAATGCTACTCGACTGTATAGATAGATAGTCGAGTATAGATCATAAAATCGTTTAGTATTATGTGATATTATTATATTTAATACCTATACTGGTAAAGGTTATGTTAGGTTTAGAAAAAAAATATAAGGTCCTAAAAAAAAAAAAAAAATGTTTTAACTAACTTAACATAAATTAATTTTTAAACATTGTCGATATTTGAGTATATTGGGTATTGAGGTAAGATCAAATAATAATAACACAAATTGTGCACACGCGATTTTGAGTAGTGGAATTTAGATAAAACGTGACGTCTCGAAAATCTTCGCGACGATTTTCCTCATTATTGCAGCTGTACAATGCAATATTTAGAAAGACCTACTTTTTAATTTCCCATTTTCCCTGCCGAATTGTTACCTATGTTTTTGATTTGCAGTCTCGACTAATTAATTGTATTTATCATTCTTGTAAAAAAACAACAATTAATCATTTTTTTCGTCTCCTGAAAAGTTGTGAAATTTGACTTACACCCTTTTTCACGAACGCCATCCATATTTGTCATTTTATGGTAAAATAATTATATATGCCTAATACTCATAATATTCGCTTGTGCTTGGATGTATTACATAATAGTTAAATAGTTTAATCCTTAGACTACCTACCAAAAAATAATAATGTAAAAATAACTCGTAAAATTAAAATATCTAGTTTTACACATTTTCTCGGAAAACTTCCGAGAAAATCAAAAAATGACTTCTTTAAAGTATCTCCCTAGTGAAATTTACTTTTAGAAACACTGCTATCCTTATAAATTGGAACAAAATTGCTGGTTTTGTTGTACACAAAAAATAAGAAGGTCGTAGTATAATTTAACTAAATACCTACATTTCTTATAATTTCTCGCTTTTTATTGTTTTTAAAATTTGATGAGAAAATCGAAAAAGTACCTTCCCACACCTTTCATAATAAATGCTACACTTATAAATCTGAGAAAATCCTCTGGTAAAAAAGTTGTTAACAATAAAAACAATAAATAAGTAAACATCTTTGTAAAACTATAAAATTCTCTGTTTCACTCAGAATCTAAAATGGTACAAAAAAAATAAATATATTTTGATTAACGAAATTTGTAATGTTTAAGGTAGTATAATATAATGTAGGAACCTCCAAAATGTTGAATTTTCGAAGATGAATCAATATGATGATGATAAAAGAATAAGAAAATAAAATACACAAATATCGATATAATATAGAGCAATAAATATTTAGTGATAGTAACTGAAAAGAAATACAATAATATTTATAGGTTTATGACAAGATATAGGTATTTGAAGGGCTGTACGAGATAAAAAAAGAAAAAGATAAAACAGCTGAATGTAAAGTATTAAAATTATATACAATTTTAAAATTCAATAAAAGATTCGGATGAGTAGGGGGTGTAAAATAAGTATAACAATTGGACTGAATTGTGTACATTACAATTTTATTGTTCATTGATTAGATTCTGAGTTAAAATAGCAAACAAGAAGACAAATATATATATATATATATATATATATATTACCTACTTCTTAGATGCATAGATGTAATAGTCCAAACATTTTGAGGGGGTTATGCTTATATAGACCCTATAATATTGATAATGTGTAACATTTATTAGATTAGGACTTGATTTGAGGACGGGGGACTTTACTGTATTTGAGAGCTAAATTCCCAAAGGTGATGGCATGTAATAGGTAAATATTGTATATAATGTTTTGATTTGTATGAAAAATTACTGTTTCATTATTTTTTCTTTTGCAGCTCTTCTTTCTATATTTTCTAAGACATTATAGGCAAGTATTAATATTATTAGTAAAGTTTAGGTTGCGATTTAATTTGTTATTATTTTGATTCTTTACAAAGGTAGTAACGCAGGTTAACTTTTAATTGTTCATATAGGATGAAATTATTTAGCCGGATCATTTCGACGACGACGTTTCAACGTAAATATAAGAAATTTCCCCACCGATATCTGTTCCATCTGCGGAACCACGATCCGACCACATGGATTCGTTGAGAGACGGATTTGTTGACGATGTAAGTTTCCGATACACCGATGCGGGCATCTATATAATATATGAACACGAAATTCACGTTTAAATAACAATAATAAAACCATTAACGACAATAATAACGCCGCAGCCTTGAATACCTTGAGAACGGACATTTGATGTCCGTTTTTATCTCTAGTAGTTTCAATGTGTTGTGCCAGCGTATTGGACATGGTCGGAGGTTGACCTTCCAAAACGTCTAGGGCCGTGACCACTTTGTATTTGACTGCTTCCAAATATAAAATCATTAAATTCGTCTGAAAAATATGACGAATGTTAACGATACAAGAGAGAAAAATAAGTTTATATAAGTACCTAATACGTTATAGTAAAATAAAAATATAAATCATAGATAGGTAAAATCATTACGAGTTGTATTATACATTTTGTACCTATTCAAATCGACTAAAGCAAGTCTTGACAAAATAAAGAGTACAAATGGAAAATCCGATATAGATCGGGTTTTCAGTAGCTACGATAATTATCGATAGTCGTGAAGATTGCATTCGAGTTCCGTCCCAATAACCTATTTTTATACCAATTCCGTTCCAGGTGAAAATAAAGTATATAGCAAATCCGTCCGGAGTGAAAAAAAGGTATAATATATCAATTCCGTCCTGATTAAAATAAGTGTATATACAAACTCTGTCCCCATTAAATATGTTTTGTCTACATAAATACATAAATGTTAAACATAAAACAGAGCTGATACTGAGAATGGGAGCGGCTACTGTTGTAGGTGAGAAGTTAGGAACGTATGATACATAAGATTATTTTATTTATATCTATAAGAAAATATAAACCATTACTTGATAAAAGACAATATAAGTATTCTTATCAAGTTTCAAGTCTCTACGTATTTATAACCGAATTACAGCAAAAAATTTCCTAAATATTAAAATTACTTAAAAGCTCAATAGTTTTGGCAATGATACCATAAGAAGGTAAATCAAAAAGACAACAAAAAAGGTATCTTGTGGATTTTCGACTTCATCATTTTTTCTGGTAGAAAATGTCGTCCATGTTTTTATAAAATAATGAAATCGTGAAATTATAAGTTTTCCTACGTCTTTTTCAATATAAGTGATTTTATTTAAAAAATGACTTTGAAAATCAAAAAACGACGTTTTTAAAGAACAATCAAAATAATATGAGCTTTCAGAAAAGTTACTACATGTAAAAATCGGAATAAGTTTGCTAGAATAAAACGTCTCCACAGACTAGAACATAGAATAAAGAAAATGAAAAAGAAATAAACAGCATTGTAAACCCAATAGTTCCCTCGCCATACTAGGAATCTAAAATTCAAACATGGTATATAATTACATAAATGAAAATATGTAAGCGAATTAAATTTATATGATATAAAAAAATTATAATTTATGTAAACATTTTTCTTATCAATATTAAAATACAAAAAAAAAAATTCAAATAATATTAAAGTATTATATCATAGAAATTCGATTATTTAGTGCGATAATTAAAAACAATATTATCTTTGTTTCTAAATAATAAAAAATTGTTATCGTAGTATTCATAAATTGTAAACTACATTAATATTGTATAAACAATTCAAAACGGGAAGGAACTAGTATAAATAATTAAATAACATGAGACGGAATTAGTATATCCGCTGTAAAAACCCGAGATGGGACTGTATATCCTTAAATTAATATTGTATATTTGGGACGGAACTCAGATGCAGCCAGCGTGAAAACTGAAGACTTGTACTAAGAATTCATTAGTAGCTGCGCAACGGCTGTAAACTACCGATACTACCTGATACAATATTTTAGATTTTTCACTTAAATCGTTATACAATTTAAAAAATGGTACCCGAGGTGGACGTACAGTTTATAATATATAAGATATTGATGAAATGTAGTATTTTACTACAATTTGGTGATTTTCGGTGGGATAAACAAAGTGTGTAGTACTAACGTGGTGCAGTTTTTCGTAGACGTTTTTGTTAGAGTCTTCGTGACTGGAGGAGTGATGCATCGCGTTTGTTATCGTATCCAATCCCTGTTTACTGCGTCGTTCCCGGTCCAAGTCCTGTCTGACCTGCTGCAATATTTTCGTCAATGCCTAGATAACACAAAAATATTATTGTATCGAGTGTACTACAATTGAAACAATTCGTAAAGTTTCAAGGATATTAGAAATAGAACAATCATACAATATTCATTTCACTCAGTTCAGAACTAAACAATGTCCACTAGCATCAGTTTCAACAATTATACCACAATTTCTATTTTAACGTCTCGATGTGTTCTCTCTCGTTTTCCCGTTACACCTATCACTGTAACACTCGTATTTATACTATACCTCTTGTTCTTATTTATTTTTAAATAATAGTATTATTAAAAGTAGGTGTATGCGAATAAAATAATAATTCGGCCGTACTGTTATCCGTCGGTTTTTGTTCATGGCTAGATTCGTGTGCTCCGGATAGAAATCCGGAAGTACCTGGAGGCTCAGGTCATCATCGTATTTATTGATGGTGTCGGCGACGATCGAAAAATCTTTCGACACGTCGCACTCGTATATCGGCTCACTGAGTCGCGACGTAATCTAAAACCATTAAGAAATATCGTATAACGCCACAACATCACTGTTTTTGTATATTATGCGCACTACGAAATATGATTACATTATAATAATGCACAATATGTAGTATAATAGTTGGTCGTTATTTTTTTTTATCGCTCATGACAGTATTTTAAAAATAATAATCTATATAATTTATACTGTTGAAATTTAATGTTAATTTATTGTTAGTTATAGTTTATGTTGTTTTAAAAAGTTGCCCGACACGAAAAAGAAAATGATATGAGATAATATAAACGACTATTTACTATACAAGATGCTCAAATTAAATGGCTAAACTTGATATTTTGAAAAGTAATGACTTTTAGATTCTGAGTGGAGCCAAGCAGTGCATGGTTTTAAAAAGATGTTTATTTTTTTTTCTCTGTACAACTTTTCTACCAGAATATACCTCTGATTTACAATTTTAGCAATATTTCTGAAAGAAAATCACACTGGGGCGATAAGTAGTTTAAGGCGGTCATTTTTTAATTTTCCCCAGAATTATGCTCATTGATAATGATGCTTTGTCAACAAAATATATGTCATTTTTTTGGAATATAAATATGCATTATAATGATAGCTGGAGAACACACACGCCGTAACAAAATGTGCGACTGATTATTATTTTGTTATTAATACTAATTCATTCTTCATTTTCAAGTTTTAATAATCAACACTTCAGCTGGAGTATTACTTTTTCTCATGTTAGTGTCGATTTTTAAAAGTCGTGTTTCTAGATAAACAGTTAGTTGCTCTTCAAATTCCGATACGCTCATCCAGAAATAATTTAAAAAAACTTCACTGGATCTCTTTTGTTTTTTTTAAAAATTAAATTAAACACACCTTTGGAAGGACGTGTACTATTTAAAGAATGTATTCACATCTTTGTGTTAGTTCTTTTTTATTTTTAATACAAGTTGGTAATTCAAAAACAAAAATATTTTTATCTGCCATGATGTTGTTGTCTAGTTGAGACATAGACACATAGGAAAAACGGAAAAATAGGTACAATATTGAATTAATATTAAAAAATATATATAATGCCTGTGTTATCATTTAACCATAATATGACATATGTATTGTTGACAAAGCATCACTATCAACTAAACTCTGCTCAGAGTCGTTTAGTCGTTAGCAATGGTATATCGTTGCTTACAGATATACATTCAATTTTCCCTTTACTATCTTTCCAACTTCTCACCTACAACAGTTGCCCACCTACGTGCGAAATATTTTTTTTGGCTTTATTCGAATCATATCCGAGATAATAGATATAAAAATATTACAAATTATATAACAAATTTGAAAAAAAAAACCGATGGATTTCGAAGTACAAACAAACAAAAGTAAACAACGGAATAAAGACAAAACACGAACTACAAAGTACTGTATGTATGTATAAAATGTATAAATAATAATATTTTGATAACATAAGACGAATAATATTCTACTAATTGTTTACATAGGTTTATTCAGTAATACGGACCTTGTTCAGTTAATGATAGGACCCGACGTCTCCGATATCTATCATTTCCGGAAAATATAACAATGTCATTTTAAAAATAGCCAAAAGTCATTCATTTGAATTTCAACGTGACATTCAACGAGTTTAAAGCTATAACCAATGCATATTGTAGTAATATTGATAAAAATATTAAAAATACAGGAATGAAAAAATTGTTATTTATATAATATATAGATGCTATATCTAGACCTTAAAGGGGATTCATTTTCCTGTGGTTTCCTGAAATAATTATTGCAGTTTGAATTACCTGCGAGATTTTTGGTACGAGTTTCTGATAAGACTGTAACACATACTGAGCGTATTCTTTCAACCGCAATAGACGTTCTTCCTCCAACATCATAAAGTTCTTTTCTCCCTCGTTCACGGACATTTCCCATTCAAGTCTAATGAAATTCAAATTTCGAACAAGCAATTTATTACAATGAAATATAGGTACGATGTCAATAACACTCACTTGGCTCTGGCGGTCCGGACGCAGTACGTGTAATATTCTGTATAACTCTTTTTCACAGACTCTTCCAGCTTTCTTTTTTTATTTTCCAACTATATGCGTATTAAAACGAATCGAAACGCTTCGATTAAAATATATATTTTTTTGGCGTAAAATAGTATATATTTTATAGTTATTACAGGTATTAAATGTTTATATAATTTTAGAGGTATTAAGTATTAAAATAATAACGAGAAACCAAAATATTTACTTTTGTCGCATCTTTGGCCAAATTCGTAGTGCTCGTCAGCATCGAATACGAAGCGTCTATGGCTGTCATGTCTTGGATTTTTTCGTTTTCTCTAGCTACGGCAAAACTTTCTTTTTTACTCCTCCGTTCATCAGACCTCCATTTGTTCATGCATTTTTCTATAACAATCCCAATATTCGACAAATTATTTTCAATCATTTTGCATGCACATCATCTTAAGCAAATTATCTATACCTAATTAATTAATTTGTATTACGTATAATAGGCGTCTCTATAAAATTGTAAAACAATTTTGACATTTATTGAAAATTATCACAGATAAACCTATTCCATTAAATGTATATTATTACCATAATAATTTAAATAGTAATTTATTTTATATACTAGGCTTGAGACGGGTATTCTCTAAAAAATTAAAAACTTCTATTGATCGATTTAACAGATTTTTAAATTCTGAGTATACCGATAAGAATATATTGGTTTTACAAAGATATATTTTTTTTATTATGTAAATCCTTTTTCCTATCAGAAAGATTACTGAAATGTACACAATTTACACCTTTTTCTGAAAGGAAATTTTCTTGAAGTGATATTTTTTTTGATCAAAAATTATTTTTCGATTTTCTTGGCGGTTTTCCAATAAAAAAGAAAAACGAGAAAAACGGGAAAATATTAGTAAACTACTATGATTTTATTTTTCTGTGGACAACTTTTCTATCAGCAATTTTGCTCAGTCATATACACGCGGTACCATTTAAAAACGGGAATATTGTCCAGATAATAGGTACTTTAGGTAAGTCATTTTAGATTCTCCTAGTGGTTTTTATAATATCTGGAAAAAACGAAAATAAAAGGTAAGAAGAACAAACAAATTTACGAAAATAATGCTTTTATTGTTTTTCGATTTTGTTACTTGTAATTCAGTTAAAAATATTCGTAGAGACTCAATATTTGGATAGAAAACGTATACGTTCCTTTTCTAGACGTCGTAAAATTTTCAAAAAATGTAGCCATTCTTAAACTATTTATAGAACTTTTTACTTTGCGAGTTTTGTACCTTATTTTTATTCGGTAGATACCGTGTGGTAAAATTGTAACACTTGAACAGAAATGTTTGCAAATTTAACTGGAGGTTCATTAAGAGTCTTACTTAGTAGTCAAAAAAAAAAAAAAAATCACTCGAGAAAAAAATTATGTAGAACAAATCGAATTTTTCGAATTTTTTTTTTTAGAACTTATGTTTATTGCCGATTAAAGAACGATAGGGAAGTCAGAAACGGGCGGACTGTTGTCATGTTTTATTGAATGTTATATATGTTATATTGAATAATTCTATACTGTGCAACTTTTAATATGATTGCCAAAGCTAAATGGTAATACATGTCTATTGTCATCTTTAGGGTAGCGAATTAAAACCCATGTTTTGAAAAAATTTGTTTATACTTTTTTTTCCCTTTTACCTAGACAGCGAAAAAACGAAATGTATTTTAAATGTACCTAGAGACCCAGCTATCGCCCGTTCAGACTTTCTTAATTGGATAATACCTTTTGATTTGTTTTGCAAACATTTCTACCGGAAATCATGGTCCGATGTATCATGTGTGATTTATTTACTAAAAGAAAAATTTATCTCCATGGATTCTCTATTATATCTCAATTGTAAATCAGAGGTATATTCTGGTAGAAAAGTTGTACAGAGAAAAAAAAATAAACATCTTTTTAAAACCATGCACTGCTTGGCTCCACTCAGAATCTAAAAGTCATTACTTTTCAAAATATCAAGTTTAGCCATTTAATTTGAGCATCTTGTATAGTAAATAGTCGTTTATATTATCTCATATCATTTTCTTTTTCGTGTCGGGCAACTTTTTAAAACAACATAAACTATAACTAACAATAAATTAACATTAAATTTCAACAGTATAAATTATATAGATTATTATTTTTAAAATACTGTCATGAGCGATAAAAAAAAATAACGACCAACTATTATACTACATATTGTGCATTATTATAATGTAATCATATTTCGTAGTGCGCATAATATACAAAAACAGTGATGTTGTGGCGTTATACGATATTTCTTAATGGTTTTAGATTACGTCGCGACTCAGTGAGCCGATATACGAGTGCGACGTGTCGAAAGATTTTTCGATCGTCGCCGACACCATCAATAAATACGATGATGACCTGAGCCTCCAGGTACTTCCGGATTTCTATCCGGAGCACACGAATCTAGCCATGAACAAAAACCGACGGATAACAGTACGGCCGAATTATTATTTTATTCGCATACACCTACTTTTNCGGGAAAACGAGAGAGAACACATCGAGACGTTAAAATAGAAATTGTGGTATAATTGTTGAAACTGATGCTAGTGGACATTGTTTAGTTCTGAACTGAGTGAAATGAATATTGTATGATTGTTCTATTTCTAATATCCTTGAAACTTTACGAATTGTTTCAATTGTAGTACACTCGATACAATAATATTTTTGTGTTATCTAGGCATTGACGAAAATATTGCAGCAGGTCAGACAGGACTTGGACCGGGAACGACGCAGTAAACAGGGATTGGATACGATAACAAACGCGATGCATCACTCCTCCAGTCACGAAGACTCTAACAAAAACGTCTACGAAAAACTGCACCACGTTAGTACTACACACTTTGTTTATCCCACCGAAAATCACCAAATTGTAGTAAAATACTACATTTCATCAATATCTTATATATTATAAACTGTACGTCCACCTCGGGTACCATTTTTTAAATTGTATAACGATTTAAGTGAAAAATCTAAAATATTGTATCAGGTAGTATCGGTAGTTTACAGCCGTTGCGCAGCTACTAATGAATTCTTAGTACAAGTCTTCAGTTTTCACGCTGGCTGCATCTGAGTTCCGTCCCAAATATACAATATTAATTTAAGGATATACAGTCCCATCTCGGGTTTTTACAGCGGATATACTAATTTAACATGAAATTTAATATATATTTGTACACAATGATTAATGATTGCCAATGAAAACAATCGGGAGCGGTGTTCGGTTAAAAATGTTTTGAAAGGCTGTAATATTTATGATTAGAAAATAAAACCTATTTTTTAAATTTTCTTGGTTTTCCCACCTTTTTTCCCGGTTTTTCCCAATTATTATAAAAGCTCCTAGGAAAATTAAAAAATAACCTCCTTAAAACACTACTCAGTCTAATTTACTTTAGGAAAAGTGGTATACTTGAAAATCGAAGCAAAATATTTCGTAGAAAAGTTGTTTAGAGACAAAAAACAAAGAAAACCAAAATAAACACCATTATAAAACCAATACATTCCTCGCTCCGTTCAGAATCTAAAAGGTAAACATTTAGTTAAACAGGATTTATTCCATAATTTTCCGAAAATATACCGTTTGGCCTAACTTATAGAGCGAAACGAAATGCAATTATTCCTAAAGGGTATTTTCTGATTTCTGATTAGGTTTGCAGAAATTTATAAACGTTACATAAAGTTACATAAACGAGTCCCGCTGTTTAACCATTGTTTTCTTGAATACCAGATTTTAAAAATAATTATTATATGAGTATATGTACCTATACTTACTGGTTTTGCTAACGTTGCATTCGACCGTTTTTTTTATCCGGCAATGTGCTTCTTGCAAATTCTTGAGCGGTTTTACTATGTCCTCTTCTAACGAATTAGCGATACACCGGTGCGCTTGGCTGTCGGCTTCCATCTCTTTGCCGATCGACAACCACGCATTCTGTATAGAACCGATGCCTTTTTTCGCAACTTTTGTCAGTTTCGCTGAAAGTTTGGACATTGTTTTCGCGTAGTTTACTTCAAGTTCAATTCTATGAATTATAATAAAACGGGATGGGTTTTTTTTCAAAATTAATTCATAACAAAAATACATACAATTATACGATTTCAGGACTATCCAGGGCATTTTTTAGTGAATTACCTCTGGTGTTCATTTCCCCTCTCTTAAAAAAAGCTCCACGAGCAGAATGACCAACATTTTCCTCTTAATATTTGAACTTTTCCCAACTACCTACCTCTCCCTGAACTAATGATTTTTCTTATATAAAATAAAATATTTCGTTATAAAAATTTAAAAATTCAATTTTTTACCATATTCTATTTTCAAATGAATGGGAATAATTTTGCTCTACCGAATGTCAAATGGACTTTTGGACTTTATTGTGTGTTCATTTGAACACAGAAAATCTCATTAAAATATGTCCTGGCGCTATCATAAATTAAATATTTAGTATTTACCTCTCTTGCAGAATTCCACTAAGCTCTTTACAAAAGTCGTTGCCTTTTTTCACGAATTTCCGGAGTTCGTGATATCTCGTATGGCCCTATACATGGAAAAATAGGTGAATTCGTCAGAGATTAAATTTAAAAAAAAAAAAAACAATTAGTACTGCTCACGTCGTGAGCTAAATCTATTTCGTGGTCGTTGTCATAATATTATTCATGGCCCACACGTGATAAAATACTCACCATGGTATCAAAATCGGATCCTCCTCGGATTGTGTACCTGCTCAATTTGTTCTTCCGGCTACTGGATAAGCTCCGTTTGTCCGCACTCATTGCATCCCGCGACAATAGTCTACCGAAAAAGTGAAAAAGTAAGAAAAAGGTTTGTTTAAAATAAAGCACGGAATATATTATTCAGCTTTCTACACATCGTATAGGTATAATATACTTGTAAACAAATTTAAAAAAAGTAAAATTTTTAATTTTTGTTTTGTCAATACATATAATATAGGAAAAACCGGTCAGGCCACGGACATTTGGCTATGATTATTACGCGTATAAAACAACAATATGTAGAAAATCCCTCAAATATTATAAGAGCCGCCCCGATTTAGGTCTAGTTGTTTTGAAAGTAAAATATAATATAATGCTGTGCGCAGTGTCCAGCGAACAAGGCCATCTGCTTTCTCCAAGTATAGGTACCTGTATTCAAAAAAAAAAAAAAAAAACCCGACGAGCACGTAATGCTTCTTTTTTTAATGAAATAATTGATTTAATACTCATAGTGGTCTTATCATCACCGTAAAGTACCTATAAAATGTACACATGTAATTCTAATTAATGCGTATTAATATAGCACGCTCTATTAAATCTTCCGCAAAACCGTCGTATAGTTAACATACAGATAAGAAGAAAGACCTATACCTAAGCGTATTATTATCAATGTTCCGCGACCACTTGTTAGCCCACGCCGCCGCAGTGCCCAGAGATAATAATATAATGTAGCACATTCACCTCGTATATGGCATTTTTTTTTTCTAAAGAGAAATTCTCTCTCGCATCAATAATAATAATATTATATAGGTTTTAAGGTTTTAAATACATACATATATATATATTTACGCAAAGTCTCTTTGCAATGCAACGCAGACAATATAATTGGTATCATATTTGAAAAACCTGTTTTCACGACATTTCCGGACAACAATACATAGGTACGTATAGGTTAGGTAGTTTATAGGTAGTACCTGTATACTTATTTCGAAGGAAAAAAATCACAGACTATCCGTGATGTATATACGGTAATTAAATGACAAATATAATTGTTTTTATTTTTTTTTTCTTATTTTTTTTTTAGTAAGTATTGTATGTGCATTTATTCTTAGTAGACAAGTTTTTCTCTCTCTTCCTCTTTTTATGTGCTGCGTATTAGTTGTACAAACAAATAATATGTTTAATATTATATAGAACTCAAGGCATTTGAAATTCCTTACAATGCATACCTTAATGTGTAAATATGTATACACATATACTCTAGATGGGCCAGCAATGAAAAATTACCAAGAATTAAAAATATTGTTAGTTGCATTAATTTACAAAAAATTGTTTATATTATGGGTTATAAAAATTATAAACACTTGGGTTAAAGCTTAATATATTAATACGGTGGACACAGTGCTTGAATTTGGGAGGTGAACGGAGCTCATCTAATAATTATTGTTTCGCACACCTACTATTTTATCATACTGGAACGAGGGAAGGGTAGATATATAAAATTGTCCGAAATTATCAATTTAAATAAACCGTGGTTTCATACAAATCTTCTTTTTCTTTTTTTTTTTATGCGTTTAATCATTTTATTTATTTTCTATTTTAATTTAAAGTTAATCGAGATAAAAAATGTCGAAATTTGTAAATTTACAAAAGAACGTTTATTACGGTTAGGTTATATTTAATTATTTTATCATATTATGACATTTATATTGTTGACAAAGTAACATTATCAACAGAACTCCGCTCAGAATGGTTTTTCCGTTACCAATGGTAAATCGTTGAGTACAAACAGAAATACATTAAATTCTCGTTACCTTCCCAATTTCCTACCTACAACAGTGGCTGCACTCGTCCCCATTTCTAGAATAATGATTCTAGAACAGCTTTTTCTTTTTTCTTTTACAGAGGTAAAACAAGGGACTATGAAAACGGATAATGAAAACGGGTGCAGTCACTGTTTAGGTAGGATGTTGGACATGTAGGATACAGAAGGGAATTTAATGTATAGGTTGATTTATTTTATCATGAATCAGTAATTATCTCAGAGGATTTTAACTGAATTTGATTTTTGTTTTTTCTAGTCATTATGGAATCGTTGGAGCAATATTTATGGTAAAAAATATAAGCCGTATAAATTTAAAATAATGAAATTGTGCCAGAATTTGAAAATAATCGTATATCTCATATTTTTTTTGGTTTTTCTCAGTTTTTATGAAAAATACTTTATATACATATATCAAAAAAAAACGGTGAAAAAATATAAAGGAAAAAAGTCGCTTTCTTGTCATTTTTAGATTGATGCAAAATTTCTGGCAAAAAACTTAAGTTGCAGAAATTCAAAACAATTAAATCGTAAACGACACGGCGTGCCGTAAATGTATGATGTTTCATCTAAAATTTTCTTTCAAGTTTTTTCCAATTATTTGGAAACTTGTTGGAAAATCAAAAAAAAGACATTTTTAATTAAAAACATTTCCTTTTAAAAAATGGTACTACACTCGAAGTAAGATTTAGGGTAGAAAAGTTGTTCACATATATATAAAAAAAAAAATAGAGCTGATACTGGGGACGGGTCTTTGTCGTTGGTAGGTAGCGGGGAAAGTCGGGATATATAAAGTTATTTAATGTACTGAGTGATTTTTTTATCAAAAATCAGCAATTTTCTCAGATACTTTCTCATTTTAAGTAAATTTTATGTCTGGTTTTTCTAATCATTATGGAATCGTTTAAGTTTTATTTTAAACCCATTTTTAATTTTTTTACCCCTACTAGGGTTATAAGTTACCTATCTATGACCCTTCTCTATTCCTCTAGGTTACATTCTAAACTGTTATAACTTATAAACGGGAAATCTGATATTAGTGTTATGCATATCAAAATTTCTAGAAAAATATTTAGTGTTCAAATCTGTGTTCAAAAGGTTCCTATTTGAAAATCAAAAGTATGCTTTTATTTAAATTATACGCAGGAGGGATAATAAATTAAAAATGGGTTTAAAATAAAGCCCAAACGATTCCATAATGATCAGAAAAATAAAAATCAAATTCACTTAAAATCCTCTGAGATAATTGCTGGTTTATGATAAAAAAAAATCACCATGTATCCATATCTATGTACCATATCTGTAAGCAACGATTAACCACTGCTAACGAAAAAACTATTCCGAGCCGATTTCAATTGATAGTGTTGCTTTGTCAATAATAAATATGTCATATTACAGTAAAATGATTACAAGTTGCATTTCCATGACAATAATGATAGTTTAAAAAAGATTAAAATAATAAAAACTTAATAATACCAAAAAATAAATAAAAATGGTTTCCTATAACAGCTTTGTTTTTAATCATTTTATCTTTTTTAACTTAAAGAACCACGTAATCCTCATCATCTCGAATAATAACGGGAATTTCAGAATATGACCTCTCTAAAGTATCATCCAGAGAACATTTCATTTCAAAAAATGTGCTTTATTTGATAGTAGGAATAAGTTTCATGGTTATAGTTCATAGTTTTAAACTATTCGTATAAAAAATTAAAAATAATCAACATCATTTTAAAACGAATACATTTCTCACTCTGCTTAGAATCTAAAAAAAATATACTACAGGACATTTAATTTAATTTGTTGAAACAAAATTTGTTTTATCCGAGTTATCTACTCGACGCGCACAGTGCAGTAATCTGAATTAAAATTTCGGTTAAAGTAGGAAACCTTTCTGAATCAGTTTCGAATTAATAATTCATCATCAGGTATATCACAGTCAAAATGTAAAACTCGACTGTGTATAAAATATCAAATGAAGAAATATATAGAAAGAAAGACGTCCTAGGATAATGGAGATGAGTGCATCCACTGTTATAGGTAATTTAATGTATATCTGTAAGTAACAATAAGCCATTGCTAAACGATTCTGAGCGAAGTTCAGTTGATACTAATGCTTTGTCAACGATATCGTGTCATATTATAGTAAAATAATTAAATAGGAATTATTTATTTTCTTTAATTATATTTGTTTAATATTGTACCGATTTTCCCATGTTTTTTCCAGGTTTTACACATTTGCCGAGAAAACTCTTAGAAGAATCGAAAACTGACCTCCTTAAATTATCTTCCCAGTTAGATTTTTTTCAGAAAAATTTTTATCATTGTAAATCGGAAGCGAAATTGCTGATAGAAAAATTGTACAAAGAAAAAAAGGCCATAATATTTGTTTACTAATGTAGGTATATTTCGTACATAGTACATAGACATATATTAGATCACGACAAAAATACTTTTAGACGGACAATATAGAGTTATTTTACATAACATATAATATTCGCATAATATCAAAACTTTAAAAAGCTTTTTATCCTAGTTTTTTCCAGATATTATGAAAACCGCTAAGAAAATCAAAAAATGAACTGTCAAAAGTACTATCTGGACAACATTCCTTTTCAGAAATGGTGTCACGCGTATATATCTGAGCAAGATTTATGGTAGAATTTTTGTACACAGTAAAAAAAAAAATAGAAAATAAAACATCTTCAAAATAAATTTATTCTTCGCTACATTCAGAATCTAAAATTATACAAATTAGTCGTTTTACATGGAAATAATTTATTTCAATAAGAGATTATTTAAAATTAGTTATTGTTAGACATATATAGATATGTTAAGAAACGAAAATTATTTGGTTATTATTTATTATCTAAAATTTATTGATATATTGTTTTTAAAATCGGTTTGAACAGTTAAAATATTATTAAAATTATTTTTCATTACATCATTGTGAATGTGTAATTCTTCTAAAACTGAATTAATGTAAATGTTAATTTGGGTATTTAATATTTTTACGTCTGTATTAATATCAAAACTTATATTATGGTTATTTTCTAAAACATGTTTAGCAAAATTTTGATTAGAGGCAATTGTTTTAAATTTTATTTCCAAAATGTGTTCTTTATATTTTATTTTAAAATTTCTATTTGTCTTACCCAAATAAAATTTGGGAAGGATTTTTTGTGAAGTTTTTAGTTCTTTTATTTTTATGTTTGATTGAATTATTATTAGTCTTAAAAGTGATTTTTACATTATTTGTATTATTGTTCAGAAATTTAGCAAAATCGTCTTTGGTATTTAAAAAAATACTATACAAATATTTTTTTGGTTTTTCATACTACAATAGTTAACGATGTTATTTGGTGAGTTGTGTATTATTTTTTCTTTAATACGTTTATTTTATGAATTTTTTTTAATAGTATTTAAATTGAAATTATTTTTATTTCAAATTATTAACAAATTATTTACAAATAATAAAAAATCGCTTTTAAGACTAATAATAATTTAATCCAATATATAAACAATAGAACTAAAAAATTTAAAATTTTAGCTTTTTACTAACATTTTTATTTATACACATATATTTTTGAAAAAACAAATTTTTTGTTCACCAATTAGATTCCAAATTAAAAGAAAAAGATACCTTGATCATTTTTTATTGAAGAAATCTTTTTGGTAAAATACATAGGCTGTAAAAATACGTCCTAAAATAATGGAGATAGATGCAGCCACTGTTATAGGTAATTTAATGTATATTTGTAAGCAACGATAAACCATTGCTTATGAAAAAACGATTCTTAGGGGAGATCAATTGATAGTGATGCTTTGTCAACGATATACCATATATTACATTTTATAGCAAAATAATTAAATAGGCTTATATATTTTCTTTAACAATATTTGTTTAATGTCATACCGATTTTTTCCCGGTTTTCACATATTTTATCCCGGTTTTTTACACTTACTGAGAAAAATGTTAAGAAAATCCAAAAATTACCTCTCTAAAGTACCTTTCTAGTGAAATTTCTTTTAGAATCATTGCTATCATTATAGGTTGGAATTAAATTGCTGGTTGAAAAATTATACACAGATAAAAAAAAGGGTCGTAATATATTTTAACTAATATCTACATTTCTTATATTTTCCCGTTATTTTTTGGTTTTCAAATTTGATATAAAAACTCTTGAGAAAATCGAAAAATAAAGTACCTCCCCACACTGATTTCCTTTCAGAAAAGGTGCTATCATAAAATCTACATTTAGAAATCTGAGCAACTCTTCTGATAAAAAAGTTGTCCACAGATAAAAAAAAAAATAATTATCTTTGTAAACCATAAACTTCTTCACCCCACTCAGAATCTAAAATTTAAAATACTGGAATCGTTGTGCCGTAATTTGGAGGAAATCGTGTAGTTCGTCTTTTTTGGTTTTTCCTAATTATTATAAAAAACACTTTAGATATTAAAAAACTACTGTCTCTAACATAACCAAATATTAAAAGAAACAAAATCGATTACTTGTCATTTTTTTAGATTGGAGCAATATTTTTGGTAGGAAACATTGTGTTGACATAATAAAAACCATGAAAATTGCAATGCCGTGGCGCGCCTTAAGTATTCGCCCTTTTACTTAAAATTTTCTTTCAGGTTTTTCTCAATTATTTCAAAAACCCCTTGGAAAAAATGTGATCCCCAGTGCATTAATGAAAGAAAATTACCTTTCAGAAAAAGTGTTACAGTCTATGTTTAGGAGCAAGTCTTTTGATACAAAAGTTGTTCACGGGCAGAATAAAAACACTCATCATAGTAAAACTCGCTACGCTCGGAATCTTTTAGATTATATATAACTTACCAATTTGAAGAACTACTTATGAGATAATAATATTTGATAAAAATAAAAAAAAAAAGTTTTTATAAATACTTTTAAAACTTATCTGTATTTGTGTTTAAAAATACTTTTAAATAAATATCATCGTTTACAAGTTTGAATTTATTAAAACGATAGTATTAGATAATGAAAACGATCTTATTGTGATAATAGTAAATAACTATTATAATTTATAATACTATAATCACTAGGTATATATATGTATATATATATATATATATATATATATTTATTTATATCGAAGTTTTGAATACCTTATTATTACAATAATTATTATAGTCGATCTTAAACAAAAATGAATGCGAATACAAGCTTATAGACTAGAGCTTACGATTTTACGTGTACTTAAATACCAGAGTACGCGTGTTATTATAGAATTCGTGTATTTAAAAATGTACGTGCACTTAATAATAGTCATGTTTATGTACATTCGGACACTTTTTGTACTCCAATATTTAGTCTTGAGAATATTATTATTTTCTTATGTAAAACGACCTTTTATCAATGTAATTTTTACTGTATATGCTGAACAAACAATTTTATTTGATTAAAATTATATTATGTCAAATCAGAATATTAATATTTTAACTGGACGGGATTACGCAATGGTCAACATCAAAATCACGTGCATTAATAAATACCGTGTATTATGATATACACGTGTGATAATAAATGCACGTCTACCCGTGTACTCGTGTTTTAAATACCCGTAATAAATCCATAGTAACAAAGTCCTAGTACAGACAAATTATATTAATTTAAGTTGATAAATTAAAGAAATTACCGATTTCATTTTACTTAAAACGATGGAGGAAAAATTAAAAATATAGTTTCGCGTAAAATTAATGATCGTATTATACATTGTTATGTGTTTCAGGGTTAAAATAAATTTTTTTAATAATTTGTCTATTATAAAAAAAACCTAAGACAAATAAACATTATTAAACAGACTGCATCGTGTGACCCAGATAGGTGTATAATTCTGTTTTGTATTCTGAATATATTTATTTTTACTTTTATGGTGGAGTATATAATAGTGAGTTATGTTAGGATACACCTATTATGTACCAAAATATACTATTATTAATTTTTTTTTATCGTCCTCGCCACTCGAAAAAGAGCGTATTTTCAAATGCTGTGGGAATATTGCTGTTGCACTGTGCAATGGTAAGATACCAACCGACCCTCTTATAATATGCTTGTTTCATGTATAATTACTGCCTAAAAAAAAAGTTATCGTTCGTAATTTATTATCGTCAATACAAATTTTGGAAATTGAATAACACAAAGGAATCGCATAGTTTTCAATGAACACAAAAAGATTAGGTACTGCTGTTTCGGCGTTTTATATAATATACATGAACGCGTACCTACCTATATTTTATTTTATGCACGATCGACGTCAATGCGTAGCATAATTATTTGCGTCTATATACAGAGTGATTATTTTTTTTCTCATTGCGAATCAACTGCTATTATATTATAACACCATCTACGAAGATTTTGAGTACTAAATTTGATTTTGATTTTTGTGTTGCTCATTTCCAACATTTTACTCCTATTCCGTACATATTTCATAATATAGTCTCATTTTGATTTTCAACCCGTACATTTTCAACTAGGATCCGCAAAAGAGAATCTGTATTATTTTATTGAACTGTTTATTAGGTTATTAACATTATATTAGGTTGCTGTTTAAAAATAGAAGTATCTGCTTAATCTATTTAAAACAAATATTTTACCCATTTATCAAAATCTACACGGACATGTAATGAAATGAAATCACTCTGTATATCACGATGCGTTTAAAAAAAAAAAACGCGTATATATACATGTGCATAATACGATCGAAGTGAAAAAATGATCATTGCAAACATTGACCGGGAGTTGAATGAAACGCCCAAGTTTTTCAAACTACGAGAATAATTATACACATATACTATAGATACTACATATAATGGCAATACTGCCAGTACCAAATGCAAAAATTGTTTAATATGCTTAGCTTATTATAGTTTTACATTTACATATTTTTGGACTAAATTGCAGCGGCCATAACCTTGGCCTCCTAGATTGGAAAACAGCCTAGCTATTTTTTTAATAAGTAATAACTATGAATGTCTGGCACATTCTAAACATTAACAAACTGTTCTTCGCACATCATAAACAGATGTTTAATATAATAGTGCTGTAATTTACCTTTGGTAGTGTTTAATTTGTAATTTTGTCTAATTTTTGTTTAATCTTCCACAGTTAACAAATTTTAATTACACATTAGTATACAAATTACTATGTTAGTAATATAAATTTGATTACTTATAATATTTAACATAATTACTCTCAAAATTGATTGTAAGTAAGTCACTTCGAACTCTGACTAAATCAGGTATTTTTACAGATTGTCCAATTATTCATTCACAAAATTATCTTTCTGATACTGATTTTATTTTATTAACTAACTGGTTTAAAATTTTGATAATGCGTGCAAATTACTGACTTATTAAATTATACTTCCCTTAGTACATCAAATTTATGTTGTATATTTATTAATGATACTGGGTAGGTACTGAAATAAACTTTAACGTTTAGTATGAAGTATTAAACATTTTACAGAATAACCGTACCAGTTTTAGCATTATATACCATGATTAGTCTATAAGAGAAATAAATATTTATAATCTACATTGCCCAAATATTCCGTTCAATGTACACAATACCCGTTCAGTGTTTACAATGAACAATTTTTCCACTTGGACCATAACATATGTATTTACTATTAATATGGTCAAATTATTATACAGATAACTATAATCTTGCGCATGGAATTAGTATCCTCGTTTAAGAGAATTTAAATAAATTCGTGTAATAATATTATAAAAATTATAATATGAAAAAAGGCAGTTCTAGAAAAAATATTAATTACTGCAAATACTGTTAGAGCCTATAAAGTTTAAAATGTCATATTTCTGATCGTGCTATATCTGGTCGCATCAAAGAAGTGCAATCACTATTTTCATAAAGTGGATGCTCACTTTACGAAATGTATCCAATATCCATTTAGTGAAAATTAAATTTTTATTAATAGCTGACACACCCGTCGTTGCCCGTGCCAATTTTTTATTAATTGTTTTATACATATTACTTGTTGGTATTGACCGTACATGTACATTGTATTTTAATGTTTTATATGAAAACAAATAGATGTTAAGTCCACCTTTGGTGGACTGAAAGTATTTTGTTATAAATTAATATATTTTTAAACTTCAAATTAATATTTGCTTTAAGCATCTAATATTTCTGGATACACCACGTAAAGTATCTCACCTTCTGAGGCCAGCAAAATTCATTACCGCAGTTACTGTGTAACAAACAATAAGGTTCTATCGTGCGAACTAAAAATATAGAAATAATAGTAAAAACAAACAGACATACTTCGAACAATGGATAAGTCACTGTCTTGGTAAGAAGTTAGAAAGGTATAGAGGATAATTTAATGTATATCAGACGCAACGATTAATCTTTGCTAACGAAAAACGACAAGTACAAGTTATAATGAACTCCTGTTAGATTGTCATGCATTTCTGTTTGGTCTTACAATTGTATCTACAGAATATACTTCAGTTTTTTGAATTTAATATGAAAATAACTGGGAAAATCAAAAATTACTTTCTCAAAGTACCATTCCAGTCAAATTTTCTTCCAGAAAAACTGCTATAATTAAAAATTGGAACAAAATTTCTTGTAGAGAAATTGTCCACAAAATAAAAAAATAAACTCCATTAAAAAACCAATATATTATTTGCTCCACTGAAACATTTTTTTAATAAATTTTGGATGAAGTTGGGGTATTTTTTGATTTTCTAAGCAGTTTTCATTTGGGGAAAATTGAGAAAAAAAACTTGAAAGAAATACGGACAAATTTACAACAGTAAAAGATATATTTTTATTTTTTTATTTTTTTATTTATTTGAATTCAATTCAACGAATTCGTCGTGACCTTAAAAGTTCACAGACTACTTACATATACTTATATTGGCCTTTTTAGATGCAGTCAAATTTTTAAAAGCGTTAAATTTGTCAGCTATTTTTAGACATTTGACATTTTAAAGATTTTATTTGGTAGGTATTACATAGATTAAATTGATTTCATAAAAATTCTTAAAAATTTAATACAAAATTCATACTGTGGTTCAATTATTTTTTTAGTTGTTTTTAAGTCGTGGACGATTTTATTCCCTGCACTAAACCTATTATTATAATTAAGTTGTCAAACATTTATTCGTAGACATTTATTTTTTTATTTGTATAAAATGTAATAGTTATAAAGATAACTTTTATTGTTTGTTTTACACATTTAATACATATAATATGACTTATATTTACAAAATATTTGGTTCCACAGTGTTGTATAAAAGTTCATGCCTTTAAAACCTTTTTAAAAATGTCAAGTTCCACCCCCATTTTTCAATTTAAATTTACAGACATTTAACTAACTGCAGGAGCGATAAACATGTAATTATTCTTTTTTGCAATTTGTAATTACAAATATCACTTAGATTCATAATGTTCTCATATTTATAAATGTCCATTAGTTCTTGTTATAGACAGGGTAAACATGTATGAGAATAATGTATTCTTCAAAAATGAAAAAATGACCAACCAGACAAGGTGCTACACTTCATACATTGGATCAAGAATTATGATAGATAAGTTGTTCACAGATGGAAAAAAAAATACAAAAAAAAGACGTCTTAGGTTAATGGAGATCGGTGCAGCCATTATTATAGATCATTCAATGTATACATGTAAACAATGATAAACCATTGCTTACAAAAAAACGCTTCTGAGCAGAGTTCAGTTAATAATAATACTTTGTGAATAAATATTATATAAATAAATATGTTATTTAAAATAATTAAATAGGCTTTATATATTTTCTTTAATAATATTTGTTTAATGGTGTACCGATTTTTTCCCAGTTTCCCCATGTTTTATCCCGGGTTTTCTCATTTTCTGGGAATACTTTTAAGAAAGTCGAAAAGTGACCTCCCAAAAGTACCTCCCCAGTTAAATTTCCTATCAGAAAATTGCTATCATTAAAAGTTGGAGCAGATTTTCTGGTAGAAAAGTTGTGTAGAAAAGAAAGAAAGGCATAATATATTTTAACTAATATCTACATTTCTTATATTTTTCCGTTTTTTTTTTTTACAGTTTTTCCTATTTGAGGAGAAAATTTCTGTGATAATCAAAAAATGGCTTCCTTAAAGTACTTCCCTACACCGATTTCCTTTCAGAAAAGGTGCTACACATAAAAATCTGAGTAAGTTTTCTAGTAGAAAAGTTGCACACAGATAGAAATAAAAAAAAATTAATATCTTTGCAAAACTATTCAACTACTATCCTACACTCAAAATCTAAAACACACATCATAGTAAAACCAATAGATCCCTTACCGCGCTTCAAATTTGAATTTTTTTTTTGTAAATTCTGTATAGTATTTATATAATTTTTCCACTTCCCCTTGTTAAAATTCTCTATCTCTGTTTTTTTTTCTCTCGCCTTTTTTTTAGATTCTCAGCAGAGCGAAGAATGAAAGTATTGGTTTTACATGATGTTTATTTATTTTTCTATGGATAACTTTTCTACTCTGATTTACAAGTTTAGCACTTTTTCTGAAAGGAAATTGGACTGGGGTAATTTTTTAATTTTCTTGGGAGTTTTTCCAATAAATTGAAAAAACGGAGCAAAAAAGGGAAAATAGTTACAATATTATTAAAGAAAATATATAATGCTTATGTCATATATATTGTTGTTAAAGCAATACTATCAACCGCTCAGAATCGTATTTTCATTAGTAATGTTTATTCGTTACTTACAGATATACATTAAATTACCTATAACAGTGACCGTACCTGTCCCCATTATCCTAGGACAGTTTATTATTAATGGATGTATAGCAAATGTGTTTAAGAATTGTTTGGTACATCCTTTTTCTGATAATTTCTGTCTTTCGACCTTCTCTTTTTCTTTTTCTCTCTGCTATCAGTCCATTTGTCTTTAGGTTTATGACTGATAATAGTATGAAGAATAATGTAAGTACCTTCTACAATTTGACGAATATAAAATCAATTATTTCTATAATAACATAATCACGTACTCCGTAAATCATATTACTATCGAATGTAAAAATTAGTTTTTAAAACAATAAATTCGTTATTATTATTGATGAACGATAAAACTTTTAAAATAATCTATCAACATTTAACACGCACGTCTGATGCACGTGGATGATTGAAAACAATTTATAATTAAATTATAAAACTATATAGTTTTTTTTTCTTGTCAAAATGTCAAAATGTCATTATTGTTATCATGTAGTGTGCAATATTGCCATCATACTCATTGCTTTTTGCATGGTAATTATTTTTATATTTTATAAGTTTTTAGCCTGACGATGTCGTGATGTCGTACTACCTTTTAGACTCTAAATTTTAGAGTGCTGCACTATTATACTGTAATACTGTTACAGGACTGTAGGTTTTTTCGGGCATAAATCGAGATCAAAGCACGGTGGGGGGACGGTAAAAAACTAGTATTTTTGTATGTCACAAAAACTGCGCGTAATATAATAATAACTTTAACTACATAATTATTGTTTAAAGCTTATATTAAAAAAAGACGTACATACTTCACACAATGGGTTGGACACTGTTGTAAGTGAGAAGTTGGGAAGGTAGGATATAAAGGAGAATTTAATATGACACAATGCTAACGAAAAACGATTCTAATCGGAATTAGGTTACCTATACATATTTTGAAAGGCTATAATATTTACGATTTACTTCAAAATTTGACACTAAAATATTGCAAAAAAAATTTTAAATGACCACAAAGTACGACCTAGAATAAACTTCCCATTACATTTACAAGCATTTATGTTTGTTCTAATAATTTTATTCACATAGTAGATAACTAAATAAAAATTCCGTAAAAAATTTGCAAAATTAAAATGTCTATAAATAAATCTAAAATGGCTAAAATATTTTTAAAATTTCACCACTACTGGAAAAGATAAATATAAATAATTTGTTTAAATTTCAAGTGTTTTCGAATAATTTTAACTGAATCACAACATAAATCGAAATTTATTATTTTAAATTTCTTAAATTTTACCATTTTTCTTATGTTATTTCCAAATATTTTAAAAACTGTTTGAAAAATAAAAAAATGACCTACTTTAAGTATCACCCAGATACAATTTTCTTTCTGCAGAAAAAGTACTACACTTAATAATCAGATCAAGATTACTGGTAGAAATAATTTTAATTAACTACATCGTACCTGCTACTACATCTTTCATCATAATATTACTTAGAAAATTTGGGATAATTAATAGCAGGATAAAAATACAAAATTATTGTGAATTGTGTAGTCTGGACAGTTTGCTCTGGGCCTGCAAATTTTCTTTATGTCGCCTTATACCTGCGAATTGATTCCTCCGTTTCGGTTAGGTTTTTCCCCTAAATACGTTAATTTGGATTTAATATTATGATTACACGACTTGTTACATCATCAATACCACTGTTTTATGTTTCACAAATCAAAGAATCGATGAACATTTAATAATAGATACCTACCTATAATTATCAAAAGTATGCACGCGATTAAAACGTCTCGGATACGTGTACGCAATACATGTTACACGATTATGTATACACGATTATAATTGAGTGGACACGTACACGTAAAATAAAAATAAAAATATTCGTATATAAAATAAATTTAGATTACTCGAGCGATTACAGTGTGAGAACGAGAAAAAAAATATTCGAGTATTTATTTCGATGGAAGACAGATGTTATAAGTACCTACATGTTGCAGACATTTTATTTCGAAATGTGATAAGAATTAATAATAATAATAACGTTCAAATTGTGCGACTGCTCTTACGGAAACCGAAAATGTATACAGCCGTTGACACTTGTTGCTGCTGCTGCTACTGATTTTCCTTTGATTATCACACGCGATGATCGTCGATTCTGTGAAAACACGTCATACCGCCGTCGTACATGTCCGACCGTCCAAACACTACTAACCGTACGGTGGCAGCGGCGAACCACTTGATGATTACTAATTTTATTTTTTTTTTTTTTTTTTTTTTTATTCTTTTTTACTCCTACTGCGTGTCGTGTAGGGGAACCCCGTTCGTCCCGCGCTCGTATCGTATCGTTTCGTTATTATTGTTGTTGTTACCACGCGATACGGTCGCACTCTGTAGTCTTTCCTCTCCAACCGCGCTTCTACCTACTTCACTACCACACACTCTCGCGATCCGATTTCAGATGTCGTTTATAGTATTTTTCGATCGTCATCATCAAATTATAATATACCTTAACCTATAAACATCGTCAATTTACTAACTAGACTAAATTTTATTTCTGAAAATATGCTATAGACTTGTTGGTGGAAGTCATTTTAAGTCAGCTATAAGGTATAGGTTATATATATAAGTAATAATATATAACTATATATTAGTATTATACACTAAAAGCATATTAATATAGATGGTCCTGGAAATTTCCTATTTAATACTCAATTGATACTTAATTTTAAAAACTTCCTGTTGGGAAGCATTTTAGTCTTATCAAGAATTTACTGTTATAGTCCAAATTAATGGGTCGGTTTAAAATAAAGTATTATATATGGGCTTCTACCAATAATATGATGAAATGAACAGTTTTTTTTTGCTACTAAACAAACTGAAAACCGATTGACCATCTCTAGGACAAGATTGTCTTTCATGCATACTTTTAACATATTATATTTAACGTCTTGATTGGCTCGATCAAAAATTCTTTGACTCGGTGGATGCCTTGGACGTCCATATATGTAATGACATACTCGGACCAAATTTGTTTTAATTCATCTAATACACAGTTTACTCACTCTTTAAAATATTTAGTACTCCAAATGTTAGGAAAATAGTATTTTAGCCAACTTTTACTGTCCTTTTACTTTCCATGGGACGGAGTATACATTTTGTGTTATGATCATAATAGTTTAGTGTCCATTTGACATTTGTATTTTCTATCCGAGACAGTCTAAAAATCAATTAGGTCCACTTGTCCTCTTTCGTTAAAATCATTTGACGTAATGTGTTTAATAACAAGTTTGCGGTTCATCGATTTTTACAACCTCAAGTTTGACATACGGTTAAAAAAATTGTAATAACTGGTCTAGGAATGTAGTACTTTTTATTTTATTGCCATACGAATTTTGACATTTTCACCATACTTAGTATTTATATGAAAGATTTTGTTCTATCATATAAGTTTTAATAGCTTACAATGTACTTATAAATAATATAATATTGAATTTAAATAATTTAGTTCACATTATCCTAAAATTAGTATGCTAATACATGAAGTCCTGTAATTTTTACGATTTTAATCAAAATTTCTACTTTGTAGATTTATAAAAATAATATATTAAAATACACTCATTTGTATTGTTTAATATTAGATTCTGAGTGTAGCGAGCAACGCAAATAACGTTTAGAATAATATCTTTTATTTAACTTATCTTATCATAATAATATATTGTATTTTCATCATAACCTATCGATAGTGAACTAGACAAAAAAATATTACTGAAGTCGTGGTTTTATCAGAATTATCTATTTATTACAGGAAAATAATAAGTCTATATTATTAGTTGTTCATAGACTCAAAAAAAAAAAAAAAAAAAAACACATCATAATATAACCAATAAATCCCTCGCTAAGCTCTGAATTCAAAATACTATTATTGTATTACCTTATATTAGCATAATTTGCTGGGGGTTTGCCGATTGTATATCAAAAACTTTTGATCCGCAATTTTAAATACTATATATATATATATATACATGGTAAGTAAATAATACTCTCGAAGAATTTTCGTATGTCTATAGATAAAAAATAATAATTTTCATTTATAACTTTAATATTCATATAATATTTTTATAAAATTATAATAATAATAAAAAGTTACTGTGTATAATAATTATAAAAATGAAATGATAATTTGATGATGGCCTATACTGAAATATGTAGTTGTAATTTTGTATTATTAACATATTTTTTTACTTAAATCTTATATTTTAGTTTTAGCTGTTTCAATCTCTTTAATCATTTGAATCTGTTCTTTTTCACTTGATGGTCTTTTCCTCGGGCTTCATATATAATATTCTAATAGTTTCTTAAAAATAATCTTTTTTCCATAATATAATATTATAAAATAACATTTTACTAGTCCAAAGAATAACTGGTATAAGACTGAGTTTTATCAATGAGCTTACACTACTATCTGTACAATTATTTTCAATTATTTGAAAATTATTATCTTCAAATTATAACTGATCGACTGACTGACTCGTTTATACAATGTTCAAATGTATTTATAGTTTATATTTCTACTACAAAATTACCTAATTCAACATAAAATTTTACCCAATAAAAAAAAAAAAACCTAAATTAAATTAAAATGTGATACATCTAAAAAAAAATATAATATAATAATTATATATATCCAGCGACGTGGTCGTGGCGTAGAGCTAAGTAGAAAAAAAAACTCGTGCGTTGTGCAGTATATTGCACGTGACGGCGAATTCCTATATTTTAAACTGTGCAATTTTATGGCATATGGTCCGACCTTTCTGTAGCCTAAACTAATAAACTTATTGTTTTAAAATTTACACGGGTTGATCAATATGTTATACAGATGATACTTATATAAATTTTAAATTGATCAGATGATTGCAGCTTGAATAACATGCAAAAGTATTAGCATAGTTTTTACTCAAAACGCTATTTTTAAAAAAAAATCAATAATGTACCAGTGTACGTGTTACCACGTGTTGGCGACGGTAGTCGTTTGCAGAGAATAAATACAATTTTGTTTATTTATTTTATCGCTTTATTATTATAGTATTGTTTTTCAGCAACATACATAGCATATATTCATAGCAATACACCATATACTCATTTATTCAATCCATAAAACAACAAAGATATTTTGTCTCTGTAATTTTTCACTCGGTTAAAAAAAACACAGATTAATTATATCCAAAATTATAATAAAAAATGAGTGATATTCCAACAAAAACTTTTCGTCAACTACGTGTGAAAATCTCGCTAAGAAAAAAAATACTCGAGATAGAAAAGTTGTGATATCAAAAAGAGACTAGGTAATTTCTTAAATTCATCAGTATAGAAATTGTTTATAATTATTGTTTGTATTTGATGAAGCGCAATAATTTAATATAAATCATTTAACTTATCTTGGTGGATACTCATACTATGTACTTAAATAGTGTTATGGGAATTAAATTACAAAATGGGGATGTAAACATTCATGAATATCAAATGGGGATTTTTAAATTTTTGTCTGGTAAAATACTTACAGGTTCAGAAAATATTTCAATTACATAGGATTAAAAATCTGTATCCCATTTTAAGATATTAAAAATGTAAATATATCGCATTAATTAAACGGCGATTTTACACAAGAGACCAAGCCCGTCGTACGTCACTTATATGCCCCCAACATCGAGATTTTATTTCTAACTTCTCGTCTGATTGAAATACAAGTTTAAAAAAAAAACTGTCACATATGGTGTTAAAATCCTTAAACAGAGAAAGCCTTACATGCATTTCCAGAATTTTTATCTCTTTTTTATTTGCCATTTTATATTTTTAAAAACGTGTAGCTTTTCGAAAACCTATATAGTATGAGTATATGTATATTGTATATAATGATGGATAAAAATAAAAGTATACGATAGTATCTCTGATTTTACAGCCTTATGATTATTATTATAATTATATCGACACTCTTTAAATATTACTTTTGTATTTAAATCATGGCTTTGAAATAACCGCATGATAATATAATTCAAATAAAAAATATGTGTATTTAATATTTATAAATTGTATTATTTTTTAAAGAGCTGATACTGGGAACGGGTACAGCTACTGTTGTAGGTAGATAGTTGGGAAGGTAGGCTACATAAAGTTATATAATTTATGTCTATTAGTAATAATGAACCATTGCTAAAGAAAAACAAAGTTCGGCTACACATGTGTCAAAATTTTAAATTAAAACTCTTATTAAAATAAAAATACTAAATTGCACTAATTTTTTTTTCAACCATGAAATAAGCGACATATAAAGAACCTCCTATTATTTTTAAACATTTCTATTTAATCTAACAATTAAATCTACAAAATACCTACTAAATAAAAATGTCGTAAAAAAAACACAAAAAATTAAAAAGTCTAAAATTATCTCACAAATGGCTCAATTGTTTTTAAAATTTGACCACGTCTAGAAACCCAAATTTAATTTATTTGTCAACATTTCAAGTCCTTGTGAATATCTTTAACTAAATTACAACAAAAAACACGTTGTTATATTGTTTTTAGATTTTGTTAGTTGTTAAAAAAACTACAAGTTAAAGAACTGGAAAACATTTGGAAAATTAAATAGATATCCAAAAACGACTTACCCTGTCAGTGAAATATTAAAAGGAAAAAAAATTGATCTCTTTTCGTATTTGGATTGAAGCAATATTTCTGGTAGAAAACATCGTGTAAACAGAAAAAAACAATGAAAAAAGTAACGCCGTGACGTGACGTAAATATTTACCGTTTTACCTATAATTTTCTTACGAGTTTTTCCCAATTATTTAGAAGCCCCTTTGAAAAATCAAAAAAAAAAGATTCAACGAAAGAAGATTACCTTTTAGAAAAGAAGAAATACTTTGGAACAAGATTTTGGTAGAAAATTTGTTCTCTAACACACACACACACACACACACACACACACACACACACACACACACACATCATAGTAAAACCAGTAGATATTCACATTTGGAATCCAAAGAAATTGTTGAATAGGTTTGCCTAAGTATGTTTAGAGTAGTTTTAGCTCAGGTTTATCATCCACTTACTAATGCCATGGACAACTTACATTAAAGAGAGTGTTTCATCTCTTTTCGTGACACGGGTAACACCTAACAAAGTGAATATATATGTACATTGTACATGCTAAAATTATTCATCCATAATACTTTTTCGGTATTTTGACATCATTTATTTAGGTGTATGTAATCTAGTTTAACTGTAGTACCTATACGATTTTTTACGGAAAAATGTTGTGTGTTTACTTTGAGAGGTGGGAGACCGAATTAAAAACCATGAAATTCGCGTAGTTAATGTGATTTTCCACAATGATTTTATATGCAGTGTGTTAAATCTAAACTGAAACATTTGAACTAATGTACCTATACTGTTATTTGACGTAATAAAATCTCCCGAGTATAAAATAAAACAAAACAGAACAAACTCAATTGATAGTAAGTGTATTATTAGCATGATAAAATAAAAAGTAAATAGATATATAAATAAAAAATGTATATATAAAGATAAAATGAATAAATAAATTAATGTATCGCCTGGATTATTATGATAAGTGTATTATACGACTGGTTTCGAATTAAAAATGGCATCATCGGGTATATTACAGTCAACATTTAAAACGCAACTGAATAAAAAAATTAAATGTAGGGAATATATAGAAAAAAAATTATACAAATCAGTCGTTTCACATAGAAATAATTTATTTTTATAGGAGAAATTATTTAAAATTAGTTATTATTAGACATAGATATGTTAAGAATATAAATTATTTGGTTATTATTTATTATCTAAAATGTATTGATAAATTATTTTTAAAATCGGTTTGAACAGTTAAAATATTATTAAAATTATTTTTCTTTATTTCATTGTGTGTGTTTGTAATTCTTCTAAATCTGAATTATAAATGTTATTTTGAGTATTTAATATTTCTAAGTCTGTATTAATATCAAAACTTATATTATGGTTATTTTCTAAAACATGTTCAGCGAAATTTGAATTAGGAACAGTCTTTTTTAATTTTATTTTCAAAATGTGTTCTTTATATCTTTGTTTAAGATTTTTATTTGTCTCACCTATATAAAATTAATTGCAGTTACATTTAAGTTTATATATACCCGCATTTTCAAAAGATGGGGAATTTTTTGTGGAGTTTTTAGTTCTATTGTTCATATGTTTGATTAAATTATTATTAGTCTTAAAAGCGATTTTTACCTTATTTGTAATATTGTTCAGAATTTGAACGAATTCGTTAAGACATATTATTTTGGTATTTTATATTACAATAATTAATAATATTCTTTTGGTGAGCTGTATATTGTTTTTTCTTTAATATGTTTATGTGCTTTTTTTTAAAAAGTATTTAAATTGAAATTATTTTTGTGGGCTATGTTATAGATCAAATTGAGCTTGTGTTGATAATTATATATATCTAATAGAATACGTTCAAGCCTATAGAATATTTAATTAAAAAATTATATTATTTGAGAATAAGGGTGATTAGAATCATATAGTATTATAGCATCAGTTTGTATAGGTTTCCTGTAAATACTAAAATCAAATTTATTGTTGATTATGGAAACTGTAAGATCTAAGAAATTTGAATTATTATTTACTTGTATTTCTAGTGTAAATTGAATATTTTTATTTATTTTTTTTAAGTAGTTTATTACATTTTCTGCTTGTTTATTTGAACCTATAAATAAAATAAAAGTGTCATCAACATATCTATGATATGTTTTTATATATGGACTATATATTTGGTTGTTAATAATATTATTGGTTTCATAATGCTGCATGTAATGTTCTTAAAACAACTGTTTTTTTAGCTGATTCAGAAAAAAAATGATACATTTTTTTTTAATTACTCCAATAAGATTTCTGATACTTTAAACGCGTGAAGATTGTGAAATACAATTATTTAGCGAATGGTTATAACAAGGGCACCTTCGGGTATTAGATGCTGCTACTTTAATGATTTCACTAATAGCTTCACGAAGTTCGTACACCATAATGCTATATCCATCAGTTCCTACACCCACACATTTTTTCAAATCAAGAACAATAATATTTATTTGCTTGATAATAATTTTACTTCTCCAGTTATTGAAATTTCTTTTTTTTTCTCGCCATTTTGTCCACTTTCACTGTTATCTTCAGGTTTCTTTGGTAAAGCTGAAACTTCATTAAAAGCATCGACAAACATGACGAAATCTTCTCTAACTGAAACATTATAAATAAATTATCTTAAAACTAAACTGATTAAAATGATACCGAATGAAAATATGTATAACGGTAGGCCTATAAATGCGGGCGATTACGATATGAGACGTCACGTCACGTCGTAAGTCGGCGCAATTATACAAACTACTGAATTATAAAAAGAACCATCCACAAAACAATGTATTTATTATTATTATTAAATGTACATAAAACTAAAAATATCAGCATAACCTATAAAAAAATATAATTTTTATCATTGCTTGACATATTAATATAATAATTAAATTTTTTTTTTCGTGACATTTGAGGAAGGGTATCGCTCCCATGCCCCCCCCCCTTGGATCTGCGCCTGCTATGATATACCTAATGATGCATTTTTAATTCGAAACTAGTCGTATAATACACTTATCATAATACTTTAGGTGACGCACTGATTCATTTATTTATTTTTATTTATTTATTAATATGATCTTGAATCGAATCAAATCGTATGTCCTATATATTATTGTCCATTCAACGAGTTAGTTATCGAAACCAGTGTTTTCAGGTTAAGTCGAAACTTTTTTTTTCAGACGTTATATTTTAGAATCATGTGATTATAAAAATTTTAAAATAAAAATTATATGAACATTTTTGAAGTCACGTTCGAAAAAAGTTTTTCTAATGTGGAAAATGATTTGTTACGGTGCTTAGAGTGGATGAAAGCAGTGGACTTCCCATTAAATGACCCTCATAAGAGTATTAACAAATTTATTTATTCCATACATTTTGAGAAAAAATGCTCAAGTCCTTGTACCAAATAATCAAATACAAATGCGTATATAACTTCGAATTTACCTGTGGGTTAATGTCATATTCATATTAATTAAATTCTATGATAAAATTATGTTTTATCTATAAACTATATTTATAAACATTTTATACATTTCTGGGTTCTCACCATTTATTGCTTATTATCAATATTAATATATCTAAAACTTAAAAATAGTAAAATAGTACTTTAGTAATTTACAATATTCATTATATTTTATGAAGTAATATATGTTGTAACATCTTCTAGACCTATTATTACCTTGAACACTGCTCAATTTTGTGACTGTGACATTGCCCACGATATGTCGGGAGTTAATTTTTTGGATTCAAATATTGACTTCAGGTCTTATGATGTTTTAAAGGACAATCTATTAATTGCTCAAATTATATGTATGAGTTATTGCCTACTATTTAATTAAATAATTGCTTAGTTATAACATTTATTTACATGTTTAATAGAATTGCATTACTTTATTTTGCTTAATGTAGGTAATGATAGTACTTGTATTTGCTTGAATTTACTTTTTTCTGAAGCTTTGAAAAAAAGACGAAAAGTCAATACTGTGAAGACTGAGCATGGTTAATAATTAATTTTACACTAAAAAGTCCTAATAATCATTTTTATTAGTTTTAAATGTTATAGTTTTTATGTTTTAGTAGTATACTTAAAAGAATTAGAGTTACTAAATAAAATCAGCTGACACCAAGATGTAAAAAGTTGTATAGGTTAAATAACATGTTATTAAAAAAGTGTTGATGAAAAAACATCACCAAAGACCGATTTAAGAAAAGATTCTATACAACAGAAAAGTTCACTGAAAAATATTTAATTGGTAAAAATTTAAAAAAAATGACTGCTGCTGCATTATTCTTTCTGGGCTTGCAAATACGAGAAACGAAGAAATCCAGCAGAGGCCGACGATTTTCATTTGATAAAAAAATGTTGAGTTTATTACTTTATGAGGGATCATCAAAATATTATCACATGCAATCAAACTCTTTACATTGCCTAGTAAACGAAGTCTGAATGTAATTTTGTCTTCAGTAGTAATTTATACTGGAATATGACCTTCAGTAATGAGCGTTCTTCAAGAAAATATAAAAAACTAAAGCCTTCTGAAAAATGACTTTTTTCTGGTTTAGTGTAAAAATATAACATTTTCATTTTAAATTTTTAGGGTAACGAGTTATATATTAATTTAATTTAATTTTTTTTATATATATATAAAATTAACTACCTTATGCACTCTATCTTCCCAACTTTCCTCTTATTTTAGATTCTGAGTGGAGCGAAGGAGCTTATGATTTATAAAGATGTTTATTTTTTTTTTCTATGGATAACTTTTCTATCAGAGAACTTGTTCCGATTTTTACGTGTAACACCTTTTCTAAAACAAAATCGGAGTGGAAAGGTACTTAAAAGAGGTCATTTTTCGATTTTCTCAAGAGTTTTCTCATCAAATGTGGAAAACTGAAAAAATATGAAAAATCGGGAAAAACGTAGAAAAAACGGGAAAATTGGAACATTAAATAAATATTATTAAATATACAATGCCTATTTAATTATTTTACCATAATATAACATATATAATGTTGACAAAGTATCACTATCAACTGAACTCCTCTCAGAATCGTATTTTCGTTAGCAATGGTTAATCGTTGCGAACAGATATACATTAAATTACCTATAACAGTGGCTGCATCCGTTCTTATTATACTATGAGGTCTTTTTTTTTTTATTGCAAGAGGATATAATTGGTTTCAATTCATCAGCTGAATTTCTCTATATCTAATATTTACCTTTCAAACTTCCGAATTATAAAAACAGTAGCCTACTTGTGGTCTAAAGTATGTTCAGCTTTTAGTTTAGATGGCTAAGTTTCTCTTTATCATACCAAGCCCATCAATATTAAAGTATTTGTGTACCTCAGGGAAGGAAGCCTCGAAATGTTTAACTTAATACCTACAAATTGATTAATACTTACAAGCTGACTCGTCTTCATTTTTTTTTTTTTGGTAAGCACAAGTTTAACCATAATATAAACTCGGCGATTATAAGAAGAAAACTATTTAAAACACACATTTTAAAATGTACTTATTTAATGATACACGGTAAATAAAATATACTAATGTGTACGACCTATTAAACATGTAGTACATGAGTACATGAACATGTATAATACGAAAAGTTAAAAAACAGAAATAAATAGAAGAAAAAAAAGTATTCCGACGTATAGTATTCTAAGTGTGGGCAAAGAAAATATAACATTTTAAAATAACATAATATACAAATTATAATCAAATATTATATTATATGAATCAAATTCAACGATACAAAAAATTATAATAAAGCTTTCTTGTTTATTTATTTTTTTTTACAGCAGGTAGATTATAAAAATTTATCGACATTAAAAAAAACACAATATACGGAACTGGTAATCTATTTCGGAGAATCGAAAATGCATTTCTTTAAACCTATTAAAATTGATTACGACGTTTACAATGCAACTATTATGTAACTATTATTAACTTGTGACTAAATATTATAATTTGTACGAAAAACATTTTTTCCATCATTCGTCATTTTTTCCTAAGTAATACAACTATGGAGTCCACACAGATATTATTGAATAAGTGCCAGGTAATCTTAGTCAAACAGTCGTGGCCTGTAATAGTAGCTAAAAACGGTTGTTTCTGGACTACGTTTTACATTAAGTAGGTATACAATATTATATACTTGTTTAAACTATGATTATTTCATTGTTTTTTCAATAATTGCCCCGAAGTCTGTTTGATAAAAGTCCGTCGTATCAGTTGCATTTTGATCGATTTGCACACGTCCCGTTGGAGACACTCCGATCGAACGTTCACTTTTTAGCTCATTCTACCAGGACTGGACACGTGTTCGCCGCGGCCATCGGACTCTTGGAATCACCTAAAGAATTACACGAAATCCTTAAAGTTTTAGGAAAAAAACATCGCCATATCAATCTGTCAGCTGAACATTTTGAAGTAAGCATTATTATATTATACATATTTATAATAAAATAAAAAACGAACAGACTTCGCACGATGGATGGGCCACTGTTGTAGGAGAGGAGTTATAAGAAGGTAAGATATAAAGTTGAATTCGATTCCTATCTGTCCGCAACAATAAACCATTGATAAAAAAAAACGAATCGGAGCAAACTTTCTTTTATACATGTACGTTCATTTTTCTGTTTTTTTTTTTCTAAGTTATTCTCCATTTTTCCTAATTATTATGAGAACCGTTTGGAAAATAAAAAATAATTACCTAATGTACCATCTAGATAAAATTTACTTTTAGAAAAGGTACTATATTTGAAAAAGGATCAAAATTCCTGGTGGAAAAATTGTTTACAGGTAAAAAAAAATAAAAGAGATAATGGAATATGTAAACTGGAAATGATTGGACAAATCGAGGGGACCAAATGTGAATATGTAAATACACTGAATACTGACCATGAAAGTTGTGTCCAAGAAACTGAAACTATTGGCAGAAGAAAGTGAGAATAAGGTTTAGAAAGCGTGATACAGAGGAATTATCGAAGACTTTATAAATAGGCTATATACACTACAGAAGTAGAATAATTCTCTGATTTAAATGATTTGATGGCAGAATTCGATATTATAATGTACAGTTTACAAAAATAATAACCTGCAGTGCGTATTGTAAACATATATCGATTAAACTGTTTCGTCATATCGTTCTTTGACAAAATATTTGGTTGATTTTTCTGGTTCTATTTTTAAATTGTCATTTTTCACAGGTCGTCAAAGACTTACTGGTAAAAATGATCGATGACCGTTTGAATGACGACGAACCGGATAAAAACATTACGATGGCGGCCTGGAGGTTGTGCGTGACAGAGGTGATTGGAGTCATTAAAGATTTCGCAATTGAAGTACGTAAATATAATTTTATTAATTATATAAGTACAAGGTAATTCATAATAATAACTTCAAAACACACAAAATCCTATATAAATCCTTATATTCCATATTTCAAAAGGGAACGTAACAAAATTACGTTACTTATAAAATATATTGAATCATGAGGTTCATACGATTTATTCTGTTTTTTGATTTTTTTTTTTTCGTTTTTGTAAAACGGTATTTTTACTAAAATAATCTATTGTTTATAGATCTATATTAGTATATATTTATGTTTGATCGTTAGTTTGATGCTGTTTCATTTTGTGCTTCCATGTTTGTATTTCGCTGTTTAATAACTTTGAAACACCTGTTTGAAACACTATGCAAGAAAATATAGCATCACCCCACCCGTTACATGTTGAAATTATAATTTAAACATAAATAATTAAACTTTTTAAGGATTCATAATTTTTCTAAAATAATGTCAAACAGAAATGTTAGGTACTGTTACAGCCATATAGCTTTACACTCCCCTCCCTCCACCGATTAATTTAAAAATGTTCAATTGCTGATCTTGTTGGTATAATAATGTATGCAAATATTACTTTAGTAATATTATAAATTATTCGATGTATTTGTTTAGGTCGACTGACTGACTGTCATCATGTACACAGGAAAAAAAGGAGTATACATAAACACGATAGAATATTATATTAAGTAACGTCGTTAAAGTGACAGTGTCAATGACACGTTATTCTAATACATATGGAAAGTATCACAAATTATTATTACAATAATATAATCGCTGTCGAGGAGTATCAATAGTTTTTTTACGCTGTTTCACATAACAGTTAACATAAATATTATATAAATTATTAATTAAAAATAACATAACTAACTAACAAGTAATAACATATCTATATTCTATATTATATTTATTTTATAATACCTACAGAATATAATTCAAGGGGAACACATATTGTTTACTTTTTTCTCCGAATTCAAAACTTAAAATGGTTTGGCACAGGGTTATTGCCTTATTATTGGTATTTTTGGTACGTATATCTAATTATTTTTTTCAATTTATGGGTTACATTAGTAATATGGATGAAATAAAATAAAAAGTTAAAACAAACAAAACAACACAACTTCTGTTAATGTAATCCGTGTAAGGACCACATTAGCCTAATGATGACTTTTCTACTATTATATTTGACACAGGGTAACGTCAGGTGGGACAGCTAGTAGTATATAAATATAATAATATTATGTACATTGGATACATCGTAAGTAGTATTTAGTATTAAGTCCATTCTGCTATCAAATTATTATAAAAAATTTATAAATTGGAATTTTACCTAATTTTGTAATACATTAAACTTCGAAATTTTGGAATTTTTCAAAAAGTGTATGTGATTAACAAAAAGAGTTACAGCTGCTAGATGTGTTACTGTTGTAGGTGAGAATGTATATTCCTTGCTTTTCTTAGAATCTAAAAAAAAAAACAAAATTCACCGTTGGTACTTCACACTGCTTGTGGTGCACTACATTTAAAGGTGGTGATCACTGCTTACTACCCGAAAGATATATACTATTGAGTAATTTAGTTCATAATTTCATATTATACTAAACGCAACAATAAATCAAAAACGATTTTAAGAGCAGTGTTCGGTAAACTATACATGCTTCCTGCAGGTAAGGTTAGACAATTACTCGTGTAATAAATAGTCGTAATTTTTTCCTTGTAGCCCAAAAATCAACCAATAAAAACAAAAAAACAAAACAAAATCCCGATGTATTGTAATTTTAGTTGTCTGTCGTTTTCTCGAGAATTGTTAAAACTATTAAAAGATGTTAAAATACATTTCTGTCATCATATGGAAATTCCGTAACTTTAAGGTTATAGAATCACTTAAATGACCGAAAGAGTTTTTTCTGAGAAAAAAATCAATTATCACTAAAGCTTCAATATAAGTAGTAGTAAATAGGTATCCACTATAATAACTATTAGCTATCGTCTTTGTCGTCGTGGTCGTCGTCGAGTCGAAGTCGTATACCTACCGCTGCAACAAGGTCACCAGTCACTATCACCACCACTACCTGCGCATATAGAATAACTGTACAAAAACCCGTTCCAATAATATTTTTGAATGTCCCCTCACTTATAAAACAATGCGGAAATTTTTATATCAGCGTAGGTTTTTATTATTTTGTGTGTGTTATAAACGAACTATATTCATTTTTCGCATCGTACACCTCGACTACGTATATAAGTATACACTGATTATTACTAATAAGTAATAATATAACATGTATATAATGGCGAAGGGAAGGGGCAGATAGGTCCCCCACGACACGCATCCGGTCACTAAACAAAACAGTATACGTAGATAGTAAATACCTATAATATACTTAATATATAATATGCACGTGAAATAAAAATATAATAGGTACGCGTAGTTATGTGTACTAAACATGTAGCAGTATTCATCCATATTATATTAAAATAAATTCTGCATGCAATTTATTATAATCCTGTAACGGGTGTTACTAATTTGTGCCAAAAAAAAAAAAGATAATCGTTTTAGGTTCAGTCTATTTGCGTCAAAATAAAAAAAGGTACTTATTCCGATCGCCCTTTTGCGCAGATTTACCTGCTTTAACATTTTACATTAACAACTTGGTTAATTCATATATTTTAAATATGTCGTGTCGGTAACGTATAATAAAGTTATTGAATCGATTATTATTATTATTTAATTGATTAGTATTTGAGAAAAAATATATTCATTTATTATAACTATACCAGTAAACAATTTTTATATTTATTGATAATCATTGAACAACTTTTATTGCATTACCTATTTGTAATATTAAAATTTCTATAATAGCTAATTATTTGAGTGTTAAAAATAAATTAACTAGGTACTATGTATATTAAATTGACTATCATGTAAAGATTGTTTTTATACAAATCTGTGTTTATTTTATAAATAAAAAAAATAACTCTTACGTAGTCATGTAATCGTGTAATTGTGTAATCGTATAATATAAGTAGGCAAATTTGGTGCAAATGGGCTGTATTTAAAAAGATTACCTTTTTTTGTGGCGTAAATGGGGGATGCCCCCTATAACAAATAGGTATCTATGGGGTATATAATAAATAATAAATAATAAAATAATAATAATTAATAATAGTATTTTACGCGCAAGTCGCGCTGTATAATAGAGTTGGTCAAGTATTCGATCTTGTCAAGTTTTATCGAGTCTGAGTCGAGTAAATAACAAATACTTTTTTGATACTTGTACTACCAGAGTACTCGATTTTTGTATTTAAAGAAATTAATATACTTAACAACTAGGTATAAATATATTCAAACCCAATTATTTCTATGTTAGGTTAAGTTATTTAAGTCCATTAAGTTGATGGTTCGAATTTATAAAAATAGATAATTATTGTAATACTAAATTATGATAATAACGGTATTTATGTTTAGAGTTCATTGAGTAGTAAACTCGACAATTTTTTTTTTTTTTTGGTACTATAGTTAACTCGAGCATTAAATTTACAAAATTATAGCTTTTGTACTACACTCGACTAGAATAAATAAATACTTGACTCAACTCAGCTAATTTTCAAAAATAAAAACTCACCAAACTCTATAATAGTAGTACAGTGTGTTTCCTTTTAAAGGTAACATGAAATATTTCAGTCCAGCGAGCTCAGATTGATATGGAGTTTTTGGGAGTAGATAAGGAATATCTAAATACAGATTTTTTGATGATTTTCAAATTTGTATATCTTTCAGTGAGCGCATGCGGATATATCTTGCATTTTTTTCAACATCAACAAGTGGTTTCAGATTTGGATAAAGCAAATCTTTTTTAAGTCATTTTAACCTCTTAACCATGATTTTAAAACGTTCCTACAGCCCTTCCTTTTTGTAGTAAATTTAAATGTAATTATTTAGGATACTATTAAAATTGAATCTTCTATATTCTTTTAACTACCACATTTGAATAAAATTGTTTCAGATGTCATATTGTGATAGTCAACTTTATGCAAAAATGTTAGATCCATTTAAAGATTATAAGTATTTCAATTTCATTTCAAGTATTGTGAAAAATGGAATAACATCCTCAACGTACACCAAAATAACTGAACTTATAATACATTATGTAAAATCAGAACTGCAATTATTGCATTATAACATCATATCAACTAAATGTAATGCTACTATGGGTCATGTTATAAAAGCTTTACTGCAAGATTACTCGACAATTGAAGAATTTTCAAAGTGTTCATCCAACATTTGCATGAAATCATCCAAGTAATAAGTGATGTATTTAACGTATCAGACTAGAAACAATGAAAACATAAGTGGCTTACAGAATTTCATCAAAGAACGCAGTAGTGTGGAATATTTTTGGTATGTAGTGAGAATTTTTGTGTATAAAAACCGTATATTCGAAATTATCAACTCATCATATATTTATTGATATATTACAACGGAAAGGTAAATATTTTTTTAGTATTTAAAATTAGTATAATTTATATCATCAGTTATAGACATAAACAAATTTATATTATTGGTACTTAGGTGACGATCTGACTACAACCGAATGTAGCTATACTATCCATTGGCAAAAACAGAAATATGCAAAAATTTCAGATGGGAATACTAAGTAGGTAATTATAATAATTATACATAGTTTATAGTTTACTGTACGCATAAATCTTATTTAAAAAAAAAATTGTGAATAGATTCGTTAAGAAACAATCAAAATTGAATAATATTATATTTAAAAAAGGCAGCTATCATTTGTTAAGACTTCCATAAACCCAAAACGTCAGTGGGGATATGAAAATATAAAACCATAACCATCACTCGTAGCTAACTTCGTGCGAAGTATGTACATCTTACGAAGCGTAATGAGGGATCTATTAATTATACTACGAGTGCTTTTCCAAAAGCACTCCGAATTATCGAGATGTTTATTTTATCTTTTTTCTTTGTTCTAGTCTGTGGACACGTTTTTTCCCTTGTAAACTTGCTCCAATATATAAGTGTAGTACTTTTTCTGAAAGCTCAAGTTGTCTTGGTTGTACTTCAAAGACGTTATTGATTTTCAAGGTTATTTTTTAAATAAAAGTACTTAAGTGGGAAGAAACGTAGGAAAACTTATCACGATTTCATGATTTTATAAAAACACAGAAGACGTTTTCTACCAGAAAAAAATGATTTAATCGAAACATCACAAAAGACACTTCTTTTGTTATATTTTTGATTTATTTTCTAACGGTATCATCGCCAAAATGTTTGAGCTTTTAAGGAATTTTAATTTTTGGGAATATTTTTGTTGTAATTCGGTTATAAATACACGTAGAGACTTGAAACTTGGTAATAATACTTATATTAGACTTATTAAGAGGTGGTCAAATTTTCAAAACCATCGGACGACTTTTTAATTTTTTTACAATGGTACTTTATTTTTTATTTTTTGTACTGTAGACCACTTTTATCCTATACAACTTGCTTCGATGTGTAAGTGTATTAATATGTATAAGTTATATATTTAGTAGAGAGATAAACTTTTTGATTTTCAAAACGGTATTTAAAATAAAAACAATTAACCGATAAAAAAAATACGACTTTTTCTACAATTTTGTTATTTTAAATAAGTACTTACCACGTTTTCCAGCACAAATGTGATTTAAATGAAATAACCTTATGTATCCCACCTTCTCCACTATTCTCCTACAACAGTGGTAACACTTATTCCCAGTATCAGCTCTTTTTTGTCTGTAAATAATTTTTAAAATAAAGAAATCTTGCTTTGATGTATAAAGAATAGAACTTTTTCTGATAGGTAAGTTCCTCTGGTTGGTGCATTGAGGAAGTCTTTGATTTTTTAAGAGGTTTTCGAAATAATTTTGAAAAACCAGTATGAATATTATTTGTAAAACAGCAAATATTTACGGCATTCTGTGATATTTACGATTTCAATGTTTATAATTTTCGCAACTTATGTTTTCTACCAGAATTATTGCTCTATTTAAAAAATGAAAAAAATCTATTTTGTTCCTATTAGTATACACGGTGATCAGTCTATCATAACACACTCATTATCTCGGAAAGTATTAACATTTTTTGACATTTGTTTTGTAGAAAATTTTAGAAACAATAATCAGCTCTGTAATTTTACATTTATGTTACTTTTTGTTACTTTAATTTTGGTTAGGTTAATCTAACCTAACCTTACCTATAACATTGACTGCACCCGACCCCATTATCCTAAGACGTCTTTTTTCTTCAGTATGTATTTTCCATATTTATATGAATTATTTGTTTTTAACATCAATATGCCAAAAGCATTTCATTGACATTCGACTTGATAACGAATAAAAACTTAATCTTAATCATTATTACATTCAAATTCTATTTTGGTGTTATATTATATTATAATAGTTATTTTTTAATTATACTAATTATATAGTACTATATTTTTGTATTATTATACTTATTAGCAAATATTTCCTTTCTTACAGTGTTGATATGAGACTTTATTTCATGTTTCCCACTTTTAGAACGTATTCCATTCCATATATCGCAATATTCAAAACACAACACACTAATTATTTTGGCCAGAACAACCCATTTGAAAGATTATTGAAGTTTTATAATAAGCTTGGTTTTGACTTAATTAGTTTTTACATCATCCTGTAATCAGCTTAATATATGTATTGACTAATTTTAAGTTTTTATTTCAATTTAAAGTACTTTTATGAAATTTTAAATTAAGATTTGTAATTGTATTTATTTTTATTTCATATATCTGCATTACATCTGTACTTAAGCCTTTACGGCGTTTATATTAAATAAATAAATAAATTAGGTAAAATTGCCACAAATAAATTTTACATCTTTGGCTATTTCAATATTGTTCTGCCCCTAAACCTAAATTTTAATATTGACGTCAGCAGAAACTGCCTCTTCGAGACCTCCCTTAAATATGGGCCTACACTTTTTAAAATTTGTAATCTTGTTGTAACAGGATTACAGCTATAGTTTACCGACGACGGGCTAGCCCCCTCCCCAACCGATTAACTATTTAAAAACAATTGTAGTTTATAAAGTTTAATTGGTAACCAACTTGTGACAAATTTTGAGATTTATTTTGTATTACCGACTTACCTATATCATAGTTTATTCAATTCTAATAATTTCTATTTTTATAAAAAACATTTTTAACCATACTTGTGATCAAGAATAGATCACATAGATCATGTAAATGATTACGTCTGTTCAATTATATAGCTTGTTTAAACACAATCAAATGTAGGTGTCAGGTGGTAATGCTTAAAAGAATGAAAATATTTAATTAAATCCCAATAAATATAATATGTTTGATTTCGCTATTTTATTACATTATTATTAGATAGCATATACATTTATAAAATAAAATAATCGATTCCTAGAGCTCTCTTTAATAACATCACCTTGTTACTAGATACTATTATAATAGTAATGTATGTATGACTATGACGGTTTTTTTTTAGTGTATATAATGTGTACACAATAAACATATTATTTTGTTTTGTTAGTAAGTCCTATAGACGTACAGATTTTACAATCTATACAACTTATTATACTTATACAATTATAATGATGTCTTATAAAATATTGTGTGTACTCATGAAAGTATAGACGTTTCGTTTTTATCGATAAATAATAAGTACATAAGAATACAAAATTATAATAATGTTCTTATAATTCTCATGACGTGAACTGTGGTAAAAGTTATATTAAATTAAATTTCGTGTCTATTCCTATAGATACATAGTCATTTTATTATTAAAGCTTATAATAATTATAGTTTCTTATTATTAAATAAGTTTATTGTAGTGTTTGAAACAATAAAAGATACCGAAAACATTTATTGAAGAATAAGAAAGAACTGTATCTGCAAGATTATATTGAAAAGCGCAAGTGTCGGATAGAAATGATGGCTGGAGTTGTGGATGTATAATATCATATGTCATATTATGACGAGATTTTCATAGATACCGCTTTGTTTTTTCCAAGAAGAAGACTGACTTAAATAGTATTGGGGAAATAGAAAATTCATCCTCAAAAATATGCCTCATCCACGAAAAAACTCTATGTTTACAATCCGTTATAATTTTATACACGGGCGTTAAACAATCTATCCGGGTATTTTTTTCAGTGCGTATTTATAAGATTAAGTTTTGAACAGAGGTGTAGCTAGGTAGGCTGGATAAAATAATATAAATGTTTGAATAGGAAAGAAAACTAATACAAATTTTTAATTTTAAAATTATGTTAACTTTCGGAGAAAAGTGGGTAGGCCCGGGTACGTATTTACAGACCATGTATCCGAGTTCGGCCACAATAGGCCAAAATGCGATCTGATTGACTGTTAGATCGATGTACATGGTTATCAGTAAAGACCGGATTTAATTGATATAGCAACTTTTTTTGCATTCAAGATAAATCAGATCTGATTAAATATATAGCCGATATATACTAAAAATATTCTGCCTATTTAATTTTATTATTCAATTTTTTGCAACTTTCCCACGCTTTTAAATCATAGGCGTTTATCGTTCGTCTGGATTTTCTAGAAGCATGGAGAGTCCAGCGAGCGATAAGCGTCTATATATATACACGGTGATAATTAAATTCAACATAGTAGTGTGCGTTTACCAATTTCTTTGATCAGTTTGACCGCACAGTGAACGTATTCGACGTAATATCTAAAATAAAATCAATTTTAAAAAGTAAAATTTGAAATTACATTGCTCCTTACAATGAAAATAAAGTAGTATTTTTATCAGATAGAAAGGTTATATATTGTTTCATATGTAACAAATCTGTGTTTACTGAAAAAAATATCTATTAGATCATCATTCCAAAACAAGTAAGTTTTGTATTTTGTGCTTATACTACACGTAATATACTACATATTATTTCAAAAATACATGTATATTTTATTTAGTTTAACCCATAATGTATAAATAAAACAAATAGTACAAATAATAAATATGTATGCTATAAAATTTACCTATTTAATTATACATTTATTATTAATTATCATGTATTTAAAATTGAATAAAATTGAAAGTCGATTTTTGAAAAGTAATAATAAGACAATGAGTATTAAATTGATAACTGATAACTAAAGTTCGGAAGTTATAGGAGTTACATATTTTTCTGTACACATTAAATTTATAGCAGACCAAGCTAAAAATACTTTCTATATGATGAAGAGTTTAAAAATTGAACATCTAAAAAGCATATTTTGCATATTTC